GCCTGTCGTGTTGTCCGTTCCAGAGCTAACTATGTCTTCAGATCTTCCCAAGTCAGCCGGTATCACCTCGGGAAAGTTGGTTTCCTTCCTTATTCTTTGGCTTCTCCAGTTCCCGTTTGCATTTGTCCACCCGAGCAAAATGTCAAAAGTGTTCATGGTGAAGTCGGTTATTGCACCAATTGGGATGATTGTGACAATGATCTGGGCAATCGTAAGCATACTCTTGACCTTATTTAGGTGTCGTGGCTTACAATCTGTTAGATCTCTAGCCATGGTGTCGATTTCCACGGACTCGGACCTAGCAATGTGTCTGGTGCCGTCTTGGGGTGGTCTTTTATGAAAGCTATCAACAGTATTGTTTCTAATGTGATTCCTCCGTTGGTTAATTCTCCTGACCTGACGAGATATGCGAAGTGTCCACGCGACACTTTGCCCTTGTCCATTGGAATTATCTTGAGCAAGCCAGTTGTGGTGTTTTTGGGAATGGTCATCACAGCCGCTGGATACAAACAGTTTGGAGAGGTAATCTATACATCCAGTGCTTGCTTCAGGAATCCGATACTGACTTACAGATAGGCATATTGGAATATGTGGGATCTCTATTCTAGTATCCTGGACCATTACTGGAGTCCAGGAGCCCGAACGGTTGTGTTCCTTGGTGCGGGTATTCAGGTCAGCAACCTATTCCGCAAGATACAATTGCCCCTACTAATAACCTTGACAGGCATTTGCTACCTTTGCTACGAACCTCACTAGTAACTCAATTCCAGTCGGATGCGATCTTGCTGGTCTGTTCCCACGGTACATGACAATTATCCGTGGCCAGGTGTGCTGCTTCTTATTGGCGTGGGTAGTGGGTAAGAAATCAGACTATCACCATAGAAATCCACCAGTCTCAAGCTAATCACATTGCACAGTTCCATGGAAAATGACCTATTCCGCCGCGTCCTTCCTGACATTCCTCAACTCATACCTCTGTTTCATGTGCCCCATTGTAGCCATGATGATGTACGTTCCCATATTTGCCCCGGAATATTCAACCACTAACGAACCCTCTATCAGTGTTGATTACTGGATGGTTCGCAAGGGAAACATCCATGTGCCTTCCCTCTACAACGCAAAACCCGGCTCTCCCTACTTTTATACTGGTGGCTTCAACCTACGCGCATTTGCAGCGTGGATCGGGGCAATCGTCCTCGTCATTCCTGGTGTCTCTGGCGCTCTTCACCCTGGATCGATCGGAGACGCTGCTGTCAAGATTTACAACATGGGCTTCCTGATTTCTACCACTTTCGCGGCGCTGTTCTACTATATATGCTGCAGGATTTGGCCAGTGCAAATCTATCCTACCGAGCTGGGGACAAAAGACATTAGTTGGGAGGCTACGAGGTACACAGAGGGCTTTTCCCCCGAGGATGAAATCGTGCCGGACTATTTGCAGGAAACTGTGATTGAGGGGGTGACAGTGGGGCCTTCAAAAGGCTCGTTGGAGGTGGAATCCGTGAACATGCGGAAGGAGGGAATGTTGTAATGGCTGAAGGGCGATTTTATGTGTTTGATGGATTTTATGGATTCTATGGATTTTATGTAGCTTTTGGATTTCAACCTACGAGTTCGATACTAAGTGCCTTTCTCCAAACCAGTACGTAGTAATAATAATTGTTAATCATATTTCCTTGTTAATCGGCTTCTGATAATTTTGACTTCTTCCCATCTCCATTGCTCGTAAATGTTCTCTTACGTTTCTACCGTAGCCCCTCAGCCTATCCTGATAATAATGCCTCGAGACTGTCAAGGCAATTACCATCTAAATGTCCATATGAGGCAATCGGGTCTTTCCGCAAAGATAAGGCCGTGTCCTTGGCGAACGATCGGGCGATCGGGCGACTGATCGGGGAGTTGATAATTGTGTAGATAATCGGATATCGGACCGAGAGAGTATTTAGCACCAATGAGACTAAAAGCTAAGTTTTCTATCAAAGCCTCAAAGCAAATTCGCAACAATGAATTTGCCCTCAATGGCTAGCAAATTCGATCTGGTGGTGCTCAACGGGAAGGTAGTCACTGCCAGTGACATTTGGTATGTTGTTCTCCCCTCTAGACTGTCTATAACGTACTAACAAAGCGAAGCGACTATTGCATTGGGATTAAAGATGGGAAGATCCAAACCCTCGCCGAGAGCTTCTCGGAAGATGAGATAGCAGGCGCCGAGGTCATCGATGCTGAGTTCGTTCCAAGTAGGCCTCATGACGTGGATGTGGAACTCTAACCATTGCATCTATAGAGGGGCATATGTGATGCCTGGTGGAATTGACGCTCACGTCCACTTATGTCAAGATTTAAAAACTGGTGAGTTGGTACCTCGTTTACAATAGACTTTTTCTAACGTTTTACCAGGACCACACGGTCTAGGAGGTGAATGCGCCGATAACTTCGAGACGGGCTCCCGGAGTGCAGTGGCCGGTGGCACAACGACGATTATCACTTTCGCGACACAGACCAGAGGAGAAGAAGACCGAAGCCTAATCAAGGTCGTAGAGTCTTATAACGCGCGTGCCGAAGAGACGGGCAGCTACGTGGACTATGGGTTCCATATCATTATTGTTCGCAATGATGCCGACGTGCTGGAGACCGAGCTCCCAGTTTTGAAGAAGGACTGGGGCATTAGCAGCTGCAAGCTCTTCCTGACGTATGAGACACAGCGGTTGACGGATTCGCAACTTTTGGATGTCATGTGGGCTGCTAGGAAAAACTCCATCACTACGGTAAGCATATTTCCTAAGAGAAACGAACGACGCTGATTTTGTAGATGATTCATGCAGAGAATGGGGACATGATTGCATGGCTTACACGTAAGAGCGGTCGAGCACGGTGGAGAATGAGAAGCTAATCGGATGATAGAAAAACTCGAGGAGAAAGGCATGAATGGTATGTCTATTTACACTCCGGTCTGTTGAACTTCTGCTGACATGTTATAGCTCCATACTACCACGCCTTGTCTCGCCCACCTCTTGTCGAGGGCGAGGCGACTAATCGCGCCATTGCCTTAGCACAATTGATCCAAAATCCGATTCTTTTCGTGCATGTCGGCTCTGCAGTATGTCTATCTCTTTTCATTCCAGACCGAAGCTAATTCTATCAGCTTGGGGCGGCCAATGTACGTCGAGCTCAAAATATGGGATTACCGGTGTATGCTGAAACATGCCCTCAATATTTCCACCTGACATGGAACGACCTGGTAAGGCTCCTACATCAATTGACAATTGGCAAGTCCTAAGAGAAGCTCTAGAAACGGTTCCATTCACCAACTTGTTTCGAAAACAGCAAAATGATCTGCTCGCCTCCTCCACCCCCAGATGCTTCTGACCAGGAAAATTTGTTTGTGTAAGTCTTGTGTATAAGAGTTTGACCAGTGAAATCCTCTAATTTGCATAGTGGCCTTCACAATGGAACCTTCACGATCTACTCATCCGATCACTGCCCTTTTCGCTACAATGACCCCCACGGCAAGGCTTCTGGAGTGCTTGAGCACGCCAAAAGCATGGAGGGGGAGTCACCGCATGCCTGCGATGATCTACATGACCTCTTGACACGCAAGGAAGGGTCATTTAAATTGATTCCTAACGGCATTCCTGGTGTTGAAACTCGACTCCCACTACTCTACTCTGGGGCACTATCGACCGGCCGCATATCGCCACAACGCTTTGTGGAACTTACGTCTACAAATCCAGCAAAACTGGTAAGTATTCTTCAAATTAGTCTGTCAACCCATGACATCGCTAATTCAATATAGTACGGGTTATATCCCAAAAAGGGGACACTGATGCCAGGATCTGACGCCGATTTGGTGATTGTGAGTTTCACTTTCCTGCTACAACCTCCGATTCGAGTTTCTAACATTGCGAAATCAGTGGCACCCTGAGAAGACGTTTGAGGCATTCCATCTCACCAACGCCCAACTCCACCACAATGTCGATTGTAAGGGATAAATTCACACCGTATTTATGCATTTAACTGACTCTTTTTACATAGACACGCCATACGAAGGATTTAAGATGCTCAATTGGCCTCGTTATACGATTCTCCGAGGCAAAGTGATGTGGGCCAACGGTAAGATACTTGGTAAGGTCCGGGATGGCCAGTACGTGAAGCGTGGTCCAAGTCAACTGAGCCAAGGCCTTCCTGGAGCCGATCGAGACCCACGACGCGTTGCAGCTTGGCTCTATGAATGAAATAGGGTGTAATGATGCACATACTTTGGCTTCGTCATGGACTTATCTAGCTGAGACAAACACGATCAATATAGACAGGAAAAATAGAGAATACAAAATGGGATTATGCCTATCCCACTCATCGTGGAAAACGGGAACATTGGCTCTCCTTCTATAGTCCAAACTTCATCCTTATTATTCTTCTTACGCAAAAGTAAGAATTACGTAAGGTCGTACCTTCCGAGATTATTCCGCAGATAAGAAGCTTATCGCCCGAAAGATAAGGTTTCCCGTATCCATGGATATCGCGCGAAAGAGAAAGTCAAAATTCCCCTATCACAGCACCTTCCGGGTATGGCATGGTAATTCGGGTATGTGCAGGAAGAACTGTCAATCGGAAAAGGAAACCTTGGAAGAATCATCCAACTATCTTACTATCAGGTCAGCCTTCTAATAGATCCATGGATACTTCCAAGCTCCTGCGGCTATTCCAGCAGACGCGGTCATGTTATGTGGCTCACCTCGGCTCGTTTACCATATAAGCTTATCTTCCCAACTTGCCTAGCCTGCACAACAATTGGGTGGCAACCGTTAGCCTCGGTCGCCACGACCGAGGCCAGGCCCATGTAGTAGATAGCTCCCTCCTCATTTCTCTCCCTTGATTTTCCCTGTCTGCTCCACTACATACTGGAGCAGCACAGTTCTTCTCTCACAGAGATCCTCATTGTGTAGCAGTCTCTAGAACAACGGATCTCTCGTCTTCCTTCGTGCCGTCGATGGCCTGTCCAAATGGATCACTCTGGTCCAACCGGGCGTGCATATAGATCGAAGATCAAACGGCCTTGTGACCGATGTCGACTCAGGAAGACAGCCTGCGTCCTTCCAGAGGGCCCACCCTGCAGGAGTTGTTTCACTAATAACAAAGAATGCACTTTCAAACTGCGTCCCAGATTGAAAACCCGGCGCATGAGTACAGAAAATCAAGCTCCTCACGCTACTGCGTCTTACGAGGTGCCAAATCCAACATTGCAACCCAGTCCTAATAGTACTCGATTGCACCACGACCCGTTCGACCAGGACAGGGGCTACTCCTACAATGATCCAGTCCAAATGTGGCCGGGGCAACATGCTCAAAATGAGCCTCAACCTGATCTCATGACCCGTCATACCTCAATGGAATCTATGGATGACCATCCTATCAGTCCGGATCAAGAGTCACCACAGCAAATCGGGGCCATTACCAGTCCTGCATCGCAGCCAGTCCAGCGCATCCGGTCGCTAGATCTCATTGAAGGATCGATCGCGCAGTTCTACGGCATGTCCTCGGAGTCAGATCCGTGGCTGCTTCGACATTGCCGATACGATGAATATGGCATGCGCAGCCTGCATCGGACTCACATCCGTAATGTCGGCGGCGTCCCGGTTGAAGGGCTGGTACCGGTCCATTTTCTTGAGACCGAGAAGGATCTTATGCTGCCAAAGGGCTCAGATATGGATACTCGGTCTCAGAAGGACGTGATGCAAGACCGGAACCAACTCAATGATATGGTCTCCCCGGAACATGGCAAGAGGCTTCTATCCTTATTTCTTCGATTCGTGTTCCCAGCCGTCCCAATAATATCCAGGTCCCAGCTTGGTATTACTTCAGGAGTGTCGACTGCTGTGTTGGAGAAGATCCCCGTTCATTTGCTTGCGGCGATTTATGCCTTGGCCATCCCTTTCGCAGTCCATGACTCGGTGCTGTGTGTATCTGCCGCATATGGGGAGCTCTTGTCCGAGAAGCTGTGGCATACGGTCTACGAGCTTATCCTCCAGGAGACTCACACACCAAAGCTGGCAGTTTTGCAAGCATCTTTGCTCTATCTGCAACAAATTCCCGCCGGAAGCCTGAAAGCCCTCCCTGATGGGCCATTCATTTGGTCTTTCCTTGGGTCTACAGTGGCCCTGGCTGTCTCCCTCGGTCTTCATGTTGAACCCCGGCCATGGGGGATTCCCCCGTGGGAGAAGCGCCTGCGGAGAAGACTGTGGTGGGCAGTCTACGTAGAAGACAAATGGCGGAGTCTTCTTACGGGCCGGCCTTCATTTATCCACCCTGATGAGTTTGATATCTTTGACCTTAGTGCCGGTGATTTCATCCAAGATGAGAAAGCCGACGAACATGACCATAATTGCCAGCCGCTTTTCTACTACACTACAGGTTTGGCTCGGATCATCGAGAATCTGTATCGGACATTTTAGTAAGAGCAATCCTCCACCCTGGTTAATTCTGCTATTAATTGAACAGTACCATAAAAGCCTCTCAGAGAGTATCAGATGACTTTCGCGCGTCCATCGACGCTGCACGACCCATCCGCGCCCAGCTTCAACAATGGTACTTATCCCTTCCCGATACTCTTCGACTCAAGCGTGGCTCCGTTTCAAATAGCCACATAGCATCTGACCCAGTAAAGGGTGCGTCCGACCTTCATTTCTCATACTTGGTTCTTGAGATGTTCCTTTACCGCGCCATTCTCCGTCCTCTTGCCCAATCACCGCCACCGCCACCGATATCAGACGACACAGATCCAACCCCGATGGGAGCTTTCTGGCTCGTTGAAGACCTAACGTTCGACACTCACGGCTTCGATCAACTCCCAGCCATGAATTCCATGCAGCTTGGCGAGGCTGAAGAGGCTACCCTCAAGGCTGCGGAAAAGTGTGCGGCCATAATCGTCAATTTTGTAGGAGCCTTGGCGCCCCATGAGTTTGGCTCCTTCTGGCATCCTTGTAGGTTATCCGTTCATCCGCTTCTAATGTAATGATTGAATTGTATACTGACTATCTATCTGCTAGGGAACCGAATCTGCTTTGCCGCAGTATCCAACTTTGTCACTCTGCTCCTTGTTCAAGCGCCGACCAGGCAACATGCATTGAGATCGAGGGATTTGCTTGAGCTGTGGTCACACACGCTTCGTTGCCAGCATTGGAGCCATGAAGGCCTAATGAAGCTCGGTCTGGTACGACTAAATCAGATGCAGATCGAGGGATTGGAGAACATCTTCAATTTGCCTGCGCATGTATCCGAGATATTAAGGGATACACAGCATGCTTAAATCCCCGGTTTCGGATATATGGTGTACAATAATGATAAAAACACAGGCAAGCTAGTCCACATTTTCAGAGACGACAAAGGATATGGAACGATTTTTGCCGAGAGACGCAAGATTGCAAAGTTGAGACGGTCTGATTATTCTGATATATTATGCCTAATATGACTCTAATTCAAGCTGTACGATACTAAACAGATAACTGTCTTTCCATAGCCCAAAGAACAAACCCTTGATTGTAACCCCAGGTAAAAGGAGGATAATATTGTTCCCCCACGACGCGAAACCCCCTTTTCAGCCAATAAGCACCCTGGATCTCGCGAATAGATCTGAGCGTGATGCACAAGCGAGACAATTCAATATGCCCCACAAGAGCCATTCTCCTCTTGAGCTCCTCTTCACAAGCCCTGATTAAGCATTCCGCAATGCCTTTCCTCCTATATCGAGGATCCGGCTTGATCGCAACAGCTACAAGCTCGAACCCTCCCTTCCAATGCGCATCCCGATGTTCATCGCCAGAACTATCCAGCACCGCAGGGCTCGCGGAGAAGATCTCATCCGCAGTGAATTGTTCAAAATAGCCCGGAAACTTCCACGCGTCATCGGGGTCTGGCGAGCAGGCTTTCAAGCTCGCAGTACCGATGATGGAATTTTGAGCGAATGCAATCGCCGTGAAGCCGGTTTCCTGGAGCTCGTCGGCAAGTTGCGTGTCGCTTTTGAGTCGAAGTCCGTTCTTTTTGTAAGAACTGGCACCCGTATCGTAGTAGCTGGCGTTGATGACATCCTGGAGCTCATGCAGGAAGGTCTGCTTGAGGAGATCGCGTTGTGTGAAGGTTTCAGTTCTGTAAGAGGGTGAGCCTTCTACAGTGGTAGACATTCTGTAGACGAGAAAGACACCAAAATGGAATTCGGCAAAGGGTATAGTTGTATGATATGATATTTTATTTCTGTTGGAACTATAATTAGAAGAATGCAACTTGTCAAGCGAAGAGTCATAAACCGTAAACCCCAATTACCCCAATAGCAGCGAGTCTGTGCGCTTCTCCACGGTTTCAGAATAAGCAAAGCTAAAAGTACAGGCCAAACTATGAAACTCTCCTATAGTCCCTCTGTAAGGTGCTTGAGAAGACCATCAGAAAGGAAAGAGCGATGGAACCAAGACATACCAACGTTATCACAGTCTACAAGGCTTGAAGTTGTTATACATCAAAACGAACGAAAAAGTAAATATTTCATTAACTAACTATTGCACTATAAATCCTTACCCATTGGTATCTCCAAATACTCAACCATTCTCTCCCTCGCACGCTCAACCTGATCCCGCACATCCAGATCCCAAAGCCACTTAAAACGCCGATCAAGGGTATCTCTCAGCTTTACCGGATCATCACGAAACCCCCTCAAGGCACAAACAAAGAATATCTGCATTCTCCTTGCTGCTAGTAACAACCCTCTGACTCCGCGGCCGACGAATCTCATCATAAGCCTTGAAAGCCGCGACCACGTCGTCGACAGAGCCGACACGGGAATCACTCAGTAGTTCGGCGAGAACATGTGCATCTTCGATAGCCTGGCCAGCGCCGGCACCCTGGTGCGGCGTAGACGCGTGCGCGGCGTCGCCGAGGATGGCAATTCTAGAGCGGGTATAGGTTGAGAGGTGTGGATGCTCGAAGATGGCCCATTGGGATGGGTCGGGCATATGCTAGAATAGATAAGGTAAGTTATTCAGACCAAACAGAAACGAAACATAAATCATACCTCAACAAGAGCCTTCACATACCGCCCCATATTCCTCGTATCCCGCTCCATATCCTCCCTCCTCGCAGGCCTTACCCAAGACTCATATTCCCAATCCTCCGAACTCAACACATAAATACCGACATTAACCAAACGAGCCCGCATAATAGGATAAGAAATAGCATAAGCGCCCCGCGCGACATACATCGTCGCGACTCTCGCCCTCCTCTCCCCAACCGCACTCACCATATCCCCCATATCCAGGACAGCGCGGTATCCATACATACCACTATAAACCGGTTTCGCGCGCAGCGAATATTCCACCGGAAACATGCACTCCTTAACCCTCGAGCGAATGCCATCACAGCCGATAACAACATCAGCATTCACGACCTCGCCATCCTCGAACTCCAAAACAACACCGTCATCACCTTCAACGAGCGTGCTTAGCCTCTTCCCGAAATGCACGATTTCAGCCGGGACGAGCTGAACAAGCGCGTTTAGAAAATCCGCTCTTCGGAGCGCTGTCTGACCTGAGGGTAGGGCTTTGAGATCCATTAGCACGTCGCCCTCTTGTGGACCTGTGGCCCAGACGAGCTCGAACCAGGTTTGTAGGTAGGACTCGTAGCCGGGACTGTCTGCGTGGGTTGTTATGAGGGAGTCGTAAATTTGTTGGATTTGGGGGTGGATTAGTGGCATTGCGCGGTATGCGGCTAGGCCGAGGGAGATGCCTAGGCCTATTTCTTTGAAGGTTGGGGCTGCTTCGTAGATTTGGACGGGGATTTTGCGGAGGTGCAGGCCGGCTGCTAGGGTTAGGCCGCCTATTCCGCCGCCGATTATTGTTATTGTGGGTTTGGACATGGTGGGTTGGAGATAGAGATTAGGATGGGGGATGTGTTGGTGATTGGAGGTGTTAGTTAAATATTTCTGCGAGTTGTTCAATTAAATTTGTCGGGGATTTTCGTGAGAGTTTACTTGTGTATAATGTCGATAAGGTTAGAGCCATAATGTATGTACTCCTTATATCCCACATGAGCGTATGGTGATATACAACCGGACTAGTACCACAATGACTGTATGTCCGACGTCGCGGAGTCAGATAGAGGGGTGCAAGCTTTCGAAAATGGGAAATTTTCGAATGGAAGATAGGGGATTGGACAGGCCAGGGAAGTGGGCTATCAGACATCCCGCGGTGGCCCTTGATCTGCACTGTTAGCGCGGTGCGTGTAATTTGCCGGGAAGTGCACGGCATGGACGAGGGGTCTACATCGTAGGACGTCAACGCTGTTACAGGGATTGTCTTGAATGGAGAAATATGACATTAAACCTGGAAGGTAAAAGATATCGCCAATCGTCACGCGTCACGAATCGTGCGTTTGCGTGTGCAACTCTAATCTATCGTGTGTATCCCATTCCATGAGACGAGAGAGCGGACATGTGCTCGACATGTAGCGCAGCGCGGTGATCGAAGTCGCGATCCTGTCGCGGGGATGCCCCTAGGGGTCTGAAATGGCGCATTGGCATGTGCAAAAAACGACAATCCTGAAGTACATTGTACTCTTCAGGAAGTCTAGATATATGGGAAAGAAAAGAAAATCCGCTATAAAAAAACGGGGAAAGTCGCGTATGTTGCAACATGAAGAAATCAAATCATAGGAGCGGTCACTACCCGCTGACGCTCCCACTTTGGAGGACCGAATGGATCATCACGGGAGTATATATCCGACCGATCCCAATCGGAGTCGCTGTCCGCAATACCAGTGTGCTTATCATCCGACCGCAACGGGGGAGAACTGTTAGAGTCATCTAGCGCGCGACGGAACCGAAGGAACTGCCGCGATTCCATATTCGCGGGCTGCATCATGCCCATTCCCATGCCCGACTGCATGGACTCGAGTGCTGCACGCTGCAGGTCGCGAATGTCATTGCGCAGACCGCCGACCTGTGTTTCTAAGTTTCTGCGGGCTGTTTGTTCGCGGCGCAGGAGCGTGACTAGCGTGCTATACTGCTCGATTGAGACGCCGTGGTAGTCGGACAGGGATGTGGCTGATGGGACGGGGCGAAGGGTGCGCGTGTTCATTGTGTCTGCGCGGATTGTGCTCGTGCTGGAAGGGCGGGCGGGTATGGTCGGGAGGGGGCTTGGGGAATCGTCGCGGTCGCTGGTGGATAGGAATGCAGTTGGTTTGCTGCGAGGGGGATAAGATTCTGCTGAAGGGGGATGTCGTGGGCGGGATAGCTTCTCGGTGGGCTCGGGACCGTTAGTTTGCATTCGCGCAATGGCGAATTCCAGGTCGATTAGTTTCACTTCGAGCGTGGTCAACCGTTGTTCTAGGGTGACACCGTCATCTTGGTGCATTGTGTTGACTAGATTTGCGACATTTGATGGAAGGCTGGGTTGTTCTGTAGGCTGCTCGACTTCCAAAGATGGTGCAGCGGACATTCGCGTCACACTCGTTACTGTTGTCCCCGACGACCGCCTCCTCGACTGCTCACTATTAGAACTTTCATCTAATGGCGGGGACTGCGAAACAACCGGGGCTGGCCGCGCCGGGGCGGATGGTGTGGGTTGCCAAGAGCTTAGGGTCTCTGGTAGGTTATTTGTCATTTCGCGCAATCCATCTGCGCTCCTTGATAAGCGGTGCGAGAGCAAGCTGTGCCTTCGCTCTGGCATGTAGCCCCTATCCTCTTGCGGATCAGATACTGCCGACGCGACGGCAAACCGAGAGTCATCATCCGAGAAGACCACACTGGGAAGCGTTGCCCGCCTTCGGCGTGGCATGCTACCGGGAACTGAATCACGAAGTGTTGCAGAGGAGAGGGGAGACAGCGGAGACAAATGTGTCTCTGCGATCTGGAGGTTTTCCGCCGAGAGTGGACTGCGGTGTGAATTCGAATTCAAATTCAAGGGCGGCGGAACAGCCGACGGTGATTTCCCTTTCGGTTGTCCACCTCTCCGCACCGGTGGCATGGGCGGCACCGCAAAAGTAGATTCGTATGGGTGCTCCTCCAATTCATCGGCTTGACTTTGTCTTTTGCGATTGAAGATCTTGCGCATGACCGTCTTCAAGGTGCTCCCGGTTCGGCGGTGGGCAATAGAGGGCTGTGAGTGATGGGAGTGGAATTCCATTGACGGCAGCGCCGTGTCGTCGTCTGTCTTGTACGATGTAGGGTTGGCGGAGCAGTCTGCCCGGGCGGGAGGGGTTCGCTGTATACTCCGAATGGACTCGCTGCCAGCGCTTGCTATGGATCGGGTGGGGTATCTCGACATGGTGTGTGGAGGGTCGCAATGGACAAATAGGCATAGAAGGTAAGGGTAAGGACTTGGATCATTACAAGCTGGGTATATGGCGCAAAAGAAAGAAGGAAAAAAGAAAAAGAGTTCAAGCGAGTGTGAGAATGAAGGGTATAAGGGTATCAATTCGAATCAAGGCTGGATTTTAGTCGAGTGAGACTATTGAAAGCTATCAAACGCATGTTAGCTGAAGAACCAGGGTGGGACAAACGGAACATACAGTGTTATAATCAGGAACATAATGAACACCCAGATCTTCCCGTTTGCTCTGAACAAAGAGAAAAGAATGACTGAAGAAGAACAAAGGGGAAGAGAAGTTGGAGAAGATTAGGGAGGGAGGAAGAGGGAAGACAGCTATTATCCCCACACCGGTCTTTCTTTATGCCACGCCAGAATAGATGTGTTGACTACAAATACAAAGTGATAGTTAACTATTTAGTTAGCTAACTAATTGCTAAATGCTTCATAAATGGTTTATAGAATACTAAATACTCTACTCTATCCCATTCTACCTACTTCCCTCCCTCCCGTGAAAGATATCTGAAACACGCCGTCCCCAGGTGACACGATGCAGTTTCAACTTCAACTTCACTTCAACTTCATTTGTCCACGTAGGGTCTTTGATTAATGTCATGCCCCTCAGTAAGAAGAATCTTATTCTCCATTAGGAAATCCATCTCCGGCATTCTTATCTTCGTGTCAAGTCAGTATTTGAGTTCTTTAGGTTCCTTAGGGTGTTCTACCCCCTGTTTCTCCCTTGCATAGGCCGTGCACTAATTTATTTTCGACAGCGATCGGCGTTGTTCTGGAACTCCCATCTATAGCAAATCTCCAGCGTCGGGATATCGCAGATCGGCATTTTCTTCGAGAAACGCCATCCAGTGCTTCAGGAAACTACTTCCGCTGTAAAAAGATCAGCATTAAACCCTCAAACTAATGGTGCATCCTGTACGGAGTACTTACTGACTGATCGTCTCCGAGTCTCCGCAAATACACAAATGTCGCTTGGGGCGCGTCATGGCGACTATACACAGCATGGTTAATATTTCCGCTGTAGGTACAATGCCTACACAGTGGGCAAAAAAAAAAGAAAAAAATAAGGGAAAATCATACCATTCAATCGTCGTTTTTCACCCAGGAAACCCACTTCGTGCTCCGTATTGCTGCGCACTAGACTTACTACAACGGCTTCTTTCTCGCGGCCCTGGAATCCATCCACACTGCCAAGTTCAAGACCGGGATATTTCTCTCGTAACATCCGCGACAGTAGAGCCAATTGCCCGTTGTAAGGGGTGATCACAGCAATGCTCTCGGGCCTGACGCCCGCATCGATCAGATTATCCACATGTCTAGCAACGACCATAGCTTCCATCTCGTTGCTTTTGCTGTCTCCAAGCAAGGCTCCTTTCTTGCTGATCTCATCCTCTGCTTTTTCGGGGAAATCTCCGCCTTGCGTGTCCCAGAATACGAGAGGTTCCTGCGTGTCGTCTGTGCCCTCTACTTCGTAGGGTAGGTCGATTAGTAGACGGGCTTTCACCGCGTCGCTGGCTATCAACCTGCCCTCGTAGAGTTCATCCGAGGGGAATCGCATGATCTTCTCATGCATGCGATATTGCGTGGTCAACATGCGTTTGATCCCCGGTCCGTGCAGGGCTAATAAACGATCAAATAATGTGCGTTCGAGAGAGACACCCTTCAATGTCTCGGTATCGGTGTTCGTGTCGGTCTTTTCCTCGCCCTTGGAAGTTTTATCTTTCTGTCCGGTAGATTTGACGGTCGGTGGTAATTGCAGATGATCACCGGCAAGGACCACCTTCTCCGCACCCAGAAGAGAAATCCAACATTGTGCTTCGAGCGCTTGACTCGCCTCGTCGATGATCACAACATCAAACTTCTGGTTCTTGAGTTGGTGACCGCCAGCCCCGTGAAGAGTAGCCAACACCACGCTACTCTCGCGCACCAGATTATCCACGCATTTAGACTCGCGCTGTCGGAATTCTTTCCGTAGCAGCTTCAAATCATCGTAAATACCTCGCCGTTCGCGACCAGACCTGGTTTTGCGAATACTAGCCTGTTTTTCATCAATCTCTTTGCGGATATCTTTCACAATACCCCCAGCATCTGAGGTCTGCGTAAGAACTTCAAGAGAATGCTCAAGAACAGAAGGAAGCAGACGAGCCGGATGCCCGATGCGCACAACAGGAACCTTCTTAGGAGCCAGACGTTCCACGATATTATCAACAGACACGTTCGACGGTCCGCACACAAGAACGCGCTTTTTCCGCTGAACCAATTGTAAAATCAATTCAATGAGCGTATGTGTCTTTCCCGTCCCGGGCGGGCCATGAATCAAAGCAATATCCCGGGAAGCCAGCGCAAACCGAATAGCATCCTTCTGCGAATCATTGAGCGTGGGATCAAGAAACTCCACAGTTCCACACGCCTCAGTATCCAGTTGCAGCGGCGTCGTATGTCCAAACGCAACACGCATGAAATGCGAGTAATCAGACTCTGTCATCTTCTCCATCTTCTCCATAGTCTGCCTCATCCTAGCCAGGAGTCAGCAACCAAGCAATCCCGAACCCAATAATCCAACAACATACCTCCTATACGTAACATCATTAGCAAGCTTAATAGCCCACAGCTTCTTCCCCCACAGCTCCTCAACCGCCTCATCATCCTCCTTAGACGTCGCCCCACCCTGCCGCCCAAACGCAATCCACACGGCGCGATCACCAGTCCGCGTAACAACACCCTCAACTCCCTTCTCCGCATCTTTCTCTTTCTCCTTATCTTTTTCCTTCCCCGCCTTCTTCCCCGCTCCCGCAACATCACTAACACGCACAACGTCCCCGACGCGAATCCCATGCGACCCAAGACGAGGCGTCCCATCCGCTGCCCGTGACTCATCTGATGCGATTGCTGGGTCTGGCGCGAACTCGCCGACGACGCGGCCGCCGAGGCCGGTTCGGCATTGAGAGAGGATGAGGCCTGTGAGAGCGTAGCCGGTTGCTTGGAGGGTTCGGCGGGTGGAGGGGGAGACTGTTGCGGCTGTGCTGGCGAGTTTGGAGGAGGAGACTTCGGCGGCGTGTTCTTCGAGGAGGAGGTTGAGTTGGGTTGAGGCGAAGAGGGGGATTGGGATTGGCGATGGAGGGGGCATTTTGGGCGGCGTGGGTTGTTTGGAGGTTGTAGATGGGATCTTTGGAGAGACTGCGCGCACTGGTGGACTGGCACTAGGTTTGGTTGGTGCAGATTGAACTTCCACTATAGAGGAGTTGTTGAGCTTTCGAAGTGCGGGGATAAAGAAGCTTTAGTCGCTTATATCCGAGCTCGGGATGATTTTATTGGCTGTAGGTTTAGGAGCTTCACATGTATTCTACAGCAAGAGAACAACCACAACCAAGAGCCAATGAACTGACGTTTTTCGTATCCGAGACAGCACTACTGGGGTGAGAAGCCTGCCAACCGTGCCAAGTCCGCATTCGATTCACTAAGTCACCGACTTTCATGTTGCCCGGCATAATTTTAGTCATCCACGACCTGTATAGACCGCCTTGTATACCGCCTTCCCATTTAATATACTGCCAGGGTGTCCCGAGGTTCATAAGGTTGCCCCACTCCCCAATTCCCCAATTCCCCAACTCCACAACATACCTCCCTACAATATACAGTTCTTTCTGCGACTTCCAAACCACATCCCCTAGCGCAAGCTGATCATGGCGCTCCCTTCGGAATTCGCAGCGCATCTGAGCCCCAACTGAGTTTCCACTCACGGGGAAGAGAAATTGAGGAGACTTGGTAGACGACGTTCCTATCATTTCATGACACCAATACCTATCAGATTTCTAAAATCCTACGTCAACTACATTCCAACTATCTATCACTTCCAATGTTTACAAGGCAGTCTTGAGGAGCACGCAAGAACTGCATCATTCAATCTATCAATAGACATGACTAAAATGTCTTATTTACAGGCACTGCTCTGGCCTGTAAGTTTCATCGCCTTTTTGGTTTTGTTCTCTTTTTTTGACGTCTTCCTAACGTGTCTTAAGAGGAGCGCCCAGTGATGCACTATTCTGAGGCCGAGCGCAATAATAGCGTAGGCCAACTTGCGAGGCTGGTTCGTCGAGTACAGTCGCATACCTGCAATACATGTTGCCAAAGGAAAAACAAAAGGTATACCAAAAGATGCCGCGAAAGAAGAAAACTGGGTGGCCGAATTGGTTCGCCTGGCGGGAGAGGAGGGCCCCCGCACCATCGTCCTCATCAAATTCATAGTGGTGGGTGGCACTCTCAAAAGGAACTTTCGTGGCCAGCTGAAGACCCTCCCTGTCTGTCGAAAAAAAGTTCCAGTGCCCCCTCAAAGCTCCCAACTCTTTCTACAGCTGATAAGGCATTACTACAATCAGACGACGCAAAAAGATTCATGTACTTCATTGACACAGTCGCTATGGTTACTCGCTTAGTGCTTTCCCTAGCCTACCAATTTGGGTAGGAAGCCAGTACGTCCATGCAAGCGAAAGAACACCAATAGCCGAAGTTGTCTAGCAAAAACCATCCCTTGCGGAATATTGGTGTCTTGACTTGTGATGAACATGCACAACCTGATATACGCGTTAGCACGAGTGAGTTACCATATACGCTTCTCTTAATCGACTCTTTATATACTAAATTTCTACAGCACTTCAGTTCACTGGGGGCCCTTACCGTTCTTCACGTACGGAGCCAGACCTCTTTGTTCGATCTTGCTACGACTATCTTCCGCCTTTTATTATTGAGTCAGATCGCATTCATGGTCTGACGGGCGATCGAGAGAAGACCTGGACCGCCGATGGTCAATCCATGCCCTGGCCGAGAGCACTGCTGCCACGAGGCTACGATTATCCAAATCAGACTTCTCGTCTAATGGACTGGTCGACCACGCTGCAAATCTCCTAGATAATTTAACATCGGACCGAGAATCCTGCAATGCATCTTCCCGCCCGCTCATTTTCGTCGCCCATAGCCTTGGAGGGCTGGTCTGCAAGAAGGCGACGCTACTATCGCGAGACAGTCCGGAAACATACCTCTAGGGGGTATTCCGTGATCTCAATTCCTGCCACTACGTTTGGTTTCGTGGAGTCTACCAATATGAAGTTGCTAGATGTCGGCTATGCGCCCCGTATCATATGGGCTGATCATACCGATCATAGGAACATGGTCAAATTTGTGTCGGTGGAAGAGACTGGTTTCAGGAGGTGGAATTATCAACGAGCTAAATCGGTTGACCCCTGAAACTGTTGCTGTCTCATGTCAGGCCACGGACGCTCGGTTAGACCTCGTGGCTACAATCCTTTGCGGCCTGATGTATAACGATAGCATGATAAGACCGGAGAAAGGGGTTGAGGATGTCCAGGGTTCAAACAGTGGTGAACAGTAGCCGTCCAATACCATTCTTAGGCTAGGGTGCGAGATTGTATAGTTTCAAGTACAAGAAGAGGTGGGGATGGCTTAATTAATAGAGATGGTATTTTCTATGTGGCTTCCTTTAAGGATAGCCACTGTTTCTTGATACAGTAAACCTCTCCTCTATATAGACCCTTTAATCCTCCCGGGGAATTTTTGTGCGAAATGTCTCGTCGGCGCCGAGCAAGTGATGTTATCTTCTTCCATGAGCTTCACGAAAAAACGGCCGTCTGTAACAAACTATGGTATTCATTTTCTAGTGTATCTCCTAACCTGTCTTGTAGTGGAATGTCCTCCGAGAAAAAGACTGGTGACAATAGTCCGGAATTTAGTCGCCAGTCGGTTGAGCATTCTATATTCGGATGACATTCACGCATATCTCCGAGGAGGCGTCGTGTAGTTTAGAGATTGGTTCCTTGCTCAGCCCCGTCCTAGGTTCCAGGGTTGGTTGGAGCACAGATTTCATTCGTCTGTCGGCCATCGTGACCTGTCATTGGCGACGGCGAGGTGCCGAGTAATTGTGCGTGACAGCCACCAGCGGCAACGGTGGCCCAGGAACACAACATGGCTGCTCCCGTGGGCACAACTTCCAAACAAAGGAATCTTCGACGGTTGGATCAAAGAAAGATTAGCGTTGTCTGGTCCGTGCGCCATGTGATGATTCTAATTCGAAGCGACAGTTTCAAAGGCTGGAGTTTCTTCGACGAAGAATCATACCAGACCATTATAAGAAAATCGTATGACGCCAGGTTCTCTTATCCAGAGGATGAAATGTATAAAATGAACCAGTAATCCACAAGTAGACAAGTCAATCAAAGAGCCTCGATTTTGACCTTCGGCTCATCGACCGTAGGACTCCTCTTAACCCTCTTCACTGTCGGCTCAAGCCCTCGAATCTCGCTCTTACAAAGTCCCAAGCCCGCAAGATCACAATCGCCACAGCGACGCTTAACGGGCAAGCAAACCGTCTGCCCAAGCCCAACAAGCAACTTATTGATCTCATGCCACTTCTCATGTGGCAACCACGACTGCAGCGCCTTCCTCGTCTCCTCCGGCGTCTTAGTTTTATTCCAACCCCAGAGATTGGTAATGCGATGAACATGCACATCGACACCGATTCCCAAGTGTTTACCCCATGCCGCGCTCAGACAGAGGTAAGCCATTTTGGGTCCTACACCGGGGAGTGCCATGAGACCCTCTGGAGTCGAGGGGATATCCCCGCCGTACTGGTCTCGCAGGATCAGGGCGGTGGCTTTGATGTATTTTGTTTTGTTGTTGTGGAAGCCGACTGTGCGGATTAATTCGTTTAGTCGCGTTGGGTCCACGGCTAGGATGTTGGTTAGGTTGAGGGTGCTGTCGGTGGGTTTTGAATCCTCGTCTTCTTGTTTGACTTTGATGTCTAGGGCTGGGGAGCCGCCATCTCCGAGCTCGGTGTGAAGACGTTGCATCGCTACTGCCGTGACTGTGTCTTTCGTCTGGGATGAGAGCATCAGTGCGATGAGGGTCTGGAAGCGACGATCTTTTGGTGATGACGCGCGCCAGTATAGCTCTGAGCAGCCCATTGTGTCTACCGGTGCAGTTGGGTTGTTTGCCCTCATTTCTTTCACGATGTTGTACATCGTCTCCCAGTTGGACGGGGGTTCGACCTTGACCGAGCCATCTTCGTCGCGGGTTTTTCGGGCAGGGAGTCGTCTTTGTTTGGGTGCCGGTGTTGGTTTCTGATCGGGCTCATCCTTCACTATGACCTTTTGTGGTTTGCGGGGACTTGTGCTCTGCTTGAGGACGCGTGAGGTTATGGGGCTCGCGTTGCGCCTTTGGCGCTTCGTTGGTGGTTCAAGGAGGTCTTCGATGTCGGCCGTGTCGGCCTCAGAGAGATCGGAGAGCTCGGAGAGGGAAGATTCATCCTCACTTTTGACGGCAGACCAACTCGGAGTCACTGAGACAATTTCTGGTTCTATCTTCACGGTCGGAGTCGCGTTTGGGTTGTAGGCGAAACTTTTCAAAGCGCTGACATTGCAGCTACGCGTCTGTCGTCGGATAGGGGGCGAGAGGGCCTGCAGCACCTTCGCCGTGTCTTTTGAAGTGCGAGAAGTGCGCATGTCTATTTAACAGCAGTTGAACTCTAAGACAGTCAATAGCCAGTCGAAACGGTTGGAAAGTAATTTCACGTGAGTGTCCTCGGATGATCGATCCACGGGCCGGCCAGAACTTCCCCAACCTCGGTGCTTACAGTGCCGACCGACTTTCCCAACTCCGTGGGGGCGCACTTCAATACACGTCTAATTTATACCGTCTACCATATTCGACATGCAGTCTCAGGCCTCTCCTTTTATGGCAGCAAAGCGGCTCTCGAAAGAGCTGGAGACTTATCAGGAGGAGGGAGAGAATGAAATATTCCTATACCTACGTCCCGTCGATGAGGCCGACCTACTACTCTGGGAAGCTGTATTGAAGGGCCCAGTTGGGACACCATACGAGGGTAAGTTCACGAAGTCCAGATCTCGATCTCCGGTCGGGTCCATTCCACGCAGTCAATCTAATGTGGCAACAGGTGGACTTTGGCACCTTACTATTGAAGTCCCGCCGACCTACCCTAATGCGCCGCCGACCGTCCAATTCACGACTAAAATCGTGCACCCGAATATCAAATTCGACACAGGCAAGGTCTGTTTGTCGCTCTTGGATGACGATTGGAGTCCGCTTGGGGGTCTCGCGGCCGTAGTCAAGGCTGTTCAGCTGCTGTTGACCGAACCAAATCCGGATTCGCCGATGAATGTTGAGATTTCGATACTACTGCGCGATGGGGATGTGGCTGGTTATGAGAGTGTTGTCCGGTACTTGACCGAGGAGCAGCGGTGGGTGGAAGATCTGGCTGTTGGACGGTGACGATGGTTTCTCGAACCAGACATACCCTACCGCTCTGCACATTCCGATCATCTCATCTCGTCTCGGATACCCTGCGCTTATTATACATACGAGTCCCCAAATCCTCACATTCTGGGCCACGGAGTTCACTTTTGGCATTCCTATCATCTTGCATACCTTGCACTTACCCTACATACGAATCGACGAATCAACGAGTCAATAAGCTAGGAGTTTAATAATTGAGCACAATTTTTGCATTATCTTCAATTTTAAAGTGAAGATTGAGACTAAAAGTAATCACATGAAGACTAGCGTGTGCTATGCGCTGTAAATGTTCGAGACCGCTGTTAAAACCCGAGAAACAAAAGGTCAAATGCGGCGGAATAATGAATGCCAGCCATAAACGCCCAAGAAAATAAGGAGAGACAAGAGCAGGGGTCGTCACGGGTCATGCGGAGAGATAGTACAATGACAATTGTCATGAAGATGCAGAGCCAATGCGATGTGCTGAAAAACGCCGTTCGAAATGATAGAGATGCAAGTTAGGCGAGAAGGCAAAAGGTGTTCATCCATTAGAGGGCCATTGCGACCACGACGGCGCCACCAACCATGGCGACGACCTCACGAGCCATACCGGTAGCCATCGCGGCGGCATTGGTTTGCAGACCGGGCTTGCCGACGGTGGTAGTCGAGGTCTTGTGGGCGGCCGTCGGGGTGATGACTGTGATAGAGGTGATGGTGCTCAGGCTGCCATCGGGCAAGGTGCTTGTGCTCTTAAAGGTGGAAGTGCTCAAGCTGGTCTGCTCAGTGGTTTGGGCAGAGGTAGTTGACTGATTGGTGGTGGATGAGGTGGATGAGGTGGATGAGGATGTGGTGGATGTGGATGAGCTAGACGAGGACGAGGACGAGGTGCTCGTGGCAGTGGACAAAGTCGAAGGGACACTGGTAGTCGACTGAGTGGACTCGGTAGTGGTAGTCGAGGACGCAGTAGTGGCAGTGGTCGGCTGAGCAGTGGTGGAGGTTGAGGCTATGGTAGAGGTTTCAGTGGAGACCGATGCAGAGCTGGTGGAGCTGGTCTCACTAGTAGAGCTGGCATTGGTCTCAGTGGTCTCACTGGTGGAGCTAGCCGTGGTTGGCTGAGCGCTGGTAGTTGGCTCAGCGCTAGAAGTGGTCTCACTAATCGCAATGGCTGAGCTGGTCTCACTAGTCTCGCTGGTCGCACTGGCTGAGCTGGTCGCACTGGGTGCACTGGTCGCGCTGGTCTCACTGGTCGCACTGGGCGTAATTGTCTCAGTCGCACTGGTCTCAGCAGCCGAGGTGGTGGCGGGCTCAGAGGTAGATTCGGCGCTGGCTGAAGTCACAGTAGACGCCGGCAGCGTGGTTGCCTCCGAGCTAGCAGTAGCATTGTCCTGGCGCTTGGCCAGTCTCATCAGGCTGGCAATGACGGGTTCCTCACCTTGCAGAGCTTCGGCGGCATGAAGGTCAGTCTGGAAGATTCCATGACGGAATTTGGCGGAGAGAGCATGCAAGGCATCATGGAGCGAGGCTGCCTTGATGTCGGCATCTTGGAGAGACTCACGTTGCGAGGTCCCCTGCACTAACTCTGCTGCAAAGACTGCAGACAGAGCGAGCAGCGTCACAAAGAGCAATTGAAGCAAGCTGATACGCAGCATGGTGAGTAGTTGAAGATCGGCCGATCTACTGATAAGGTGGATGGGTGAGAAGAAGAGGGGGAGAAAGAGCAAAAGAACAAAGGTGAGATTTTAGGAGAAGAAGAGTGGAAGAAAGCACCCAAGACCCATAGTGGCGATTATATCGATTTTTCGTGTCTTTCCTGATTTTTCGTCGCACTAGTGAAGATACACCCGAGCATCATCGGCGTGGCTGATTTTTTCACCAGTCACATATGTCGGATCGGCCCCAAACGAACGCTTATACAGAGCCGATGTGAACTATTTTGGACGTTATACTATATTTGTACTATATTTGTGCAGGCCACGACTACAGCGCAAAAGTAAAAAGAGGCCGTTCTCTACTATAATTGGCCGGGTCTCAGCCCTTTAGGGGGCTAACAATAGCAACCGTGGAAACAAGAATAGAAGTGTTGTCATGCAATATTTCCTTTTTACTCCATTGGGAGATTTGAGCGGCAAAAGGGGTATGTATTTCCCCTGGAGCTCTGATTCGAGCGTCATTAGTATAATATCAACTTGAGTCATAACACCCTGAACTAGTTAGGACCTAACTGTACGAATAACAATATCGGAATCCGGTCGGATCCATGACCTCCCCGACCGATCGAGACCGATCAAGAACCCCGAACTCCATCTCCATATCAAGCGTAACAAGCGGCGCATCCGGCGGATTCAGAATTCGATTCGTACCGTTGAGTGCGAACCGATGCTCCTCGGCCTTCGCCTGCCAGATACTCCACGTCCGATCGATCATACTGTGGTGCAGCATAAAAGCCGGGTCCTGTGGAGACGTGAACAGATCTTGCAGGGTGGCTCCGAGGCTGAAATGCCCGCCGCCGTGCACGCCCAGCACCCCGCCCGGCCGTGCGGGCCAGTAGTCCATGACGGTTTGGAAATCGGAAATATTGGGCGCGGCCAGGAGTCGGTCGACGATGGTCTCGTTGTCGTAGTTGCTGCTGACGAAATTGTTCAGACTTCGGTTGAAACAGTGCGGGTTGTAGTCGAAGCCTGGCGCGGGGAGTTTGGTTAATGAGACGATGTTGCGGTCAAATGGGCCCATGTGCACGATCATGTCTTTGAAGGGTCCGCATCGCACGCAGCCACCGCCCGATCCTCGGGGTATGGTTATTGTGCCGCCGGAGAGGTTTTGTTCGTCGGGATTGTGTTCCCCGTCGCCCGAGAGGGAGCTGTCGCTGCAGTCGAAGAGCGGGCTGGCCTTGAGGTTTTCCGACCATAATGGCCAATTCCAGTACCTGGTTCGTGTTATTATAATTTGGGATCGTAATCAATGAGTGACACTTACGGCAGATATCCAGAGTAACCACACTCGTCTCGCAGGGCTTTCTCCCAGAGCCAGAGGAAGTGACGGTGCCACGGGAGAAACAGACCACTCAGGTGGACATTGAGTGTGTAATTGACATGGGTGCTTATGGTATGTTAGTACTCGGTCTTCAGCATCGATGAAGCAGGAACCTACGCCACAAAATCATCGAATCGGTTCCGCACGCCTGGGTACTCTTCTCTTGGAAGATGCTGGGGCTTCGCTTGCAAACACAATACCGCATTGGTATAGTCGATCCGCTCAGCTCGCTCCAACTCTCCCCTATATAATATCAGTCTCAATTGGCCCTAAAAAATACCAGAAAACACAAACCATTCCTTCCGCTCAGCAATATTCTGACTTCCACACAATTGTTCCGGCAGCGAGATGTCGATATCGATACCGAACAGGGAGGACTCCGCCGAAACCAAAGCCCCCAAGACAATAACCAAGAAAGACGGATAGAAACCAATCATCCTGCCAATCCCACAAAAATCCCGATCTGCGTTTAAAATTGTCGCAGGATCTCCCTGCCCGGTCCATGAACAACACTATTTATAAGTAACCCCCGACCCCCCACTATCGAGCCAATAAATCCTGCTCGCACCCCTTGTATGATCTGTAAGTAGACGGATTATTTAAGATTAGCCTCTTTAATGAACTGCAAAAATACTTGGCGGTGCGGGTTCCAGGCCTGTTAGTGTGAGCTGTCACTCGGGGCCAATGTGCCTACATCATACATGCCCCATAAGTGGCGATGCACATCTTCCCCTGCATGAGACGAAGCGATAGGGGCTCTAGTTGTGCACTGAAGACCCTCCCCAAAGCCTAGCCAGCTAGCTCCAAGCCAATTATCTTACTTGTTTATGAGATGCTTTATCGTCAGATCTATGTTGTACCTAGGCGAACTGTCAGAATTTGATGTGCATACTTGGCCCCATATTCTAGCGGTGGGGGAGAGGGGTGGTCTAGTCGGATTTTAAATTAGCTGCATTTATTGTTACGCGACAGATTCTTTCTAACAGAAGAAGTGCATTGTCTAACGAAATAACAAGTATAGAGAGGAAAGGAAACGAAAAGGAATCGACAGGGCCGTAAGGGAGTTTTGTGGGGTCCTTCTAAGTAAACGATATAAAACTCGAACGCTCATTTACATTCGCTTACGGATCGGGAAGGTACTAGATATGACCTACTAGACGCTGGATCGTGATATAACCCCCGGGCAAAAGTATGTTTAGTTCCTGAATGCTAGCTTCTCGTTATCCATATAGTCGTCTAATTGTAAGGCCCTTAGGTGCAGTTGCCTAAGGATACTTAGGGATAATGGTGGATCGGGAAATAGAGATAGAACATACAAGGGTGGTTGTATGTGAATTTATAGCTGCCTCTCCAGAGAAGCAGCCTGTGGGGATAATACCGCACCGACGGAATCAACTCCGAAGTGACTATACGGACGACCAAGTTGATTTCCAATCAACTTGGCTCAAATAACAACTCATTTCATACCTCTGAATTACAACCGGTCTGTCGGGCGAATCGCCATTCCGAAATTAGTCAGAATCCAACTGGCGCCTCCCTAACAGCAGTAGTCCGTGGACCCATTTCACTAAACGGAAACCAAAGTCTTGTGGAAAAGGTTATGTGTGACATCCTCGGCTGTACTAGTAGTCCTCATGACTCTTCTCTGCGAAAACAGGCTCTGCTTTATGTAGGAGGTGAATGTGGGGTGGGAAAAGGCCATATCAATAGAGCGATTGTCGCAGCGATGGTCCTGGTTCACCGCAAGGAATAAGTCATCCTTATGGCGCCCACAGGAGCAGTTACTGATGCCATTGATGGTAGCACGTATCATACCTCACTCGGAATTTCGCTCAACCGATACAGACGTGATGGGGTTAGTCTCCGAATTCGCAGACTATGGGCTCGGAAGACAGTCATGACTATAGACGCGATCAGCATGGTCGACCTGGCCGCATTGTCTACACACTGCAAGACTGCTCGATCCCTGGGTAGATCATCAACCGATCAGGACTACCCTTGGTGATTCTCATGGGAGACTTTCATCGATTTCCTCCAGTTCAGGGCCAGCCCTTATGGAAACCTCCGAGGAACGACACGGAACAAGACGGTAAATTAATCTGGGATCGATTTGACACCCAATTCAAAGGCCATTTCTTCGCTCTCCGATCCACAATTCCAAACATCACCGGCCATCGTCAAATTGAGTTCGTTGCGGCATGTCATAAAACGTCTGCAAATTGAACGTTTTGCTCGTGCCAAACGTCAGAAAATCTTCGTTTTTCCAGCCCTCCACACTCGAGCAAAATCCTTGGGCCCTTCACCCTTCGCCTGCGAGCTGATGACTTGCTTGGTTTGATTAAGGCGCTAAGGTCCCATTTCCTGGGTTCATTATACACTGCTTCCATGCCTGATGTTGATGTGCCAAAAGCAGATTGGCCGGTTCATAAAGGAAAGGTGGGGATGTTTGATGCCAATATGACTTATATTGAATACAATTGGCTACCAATTTATTTTGTGGGCTGGTCTTTCGCTAGAGGCCACTCTGCTGGCCTCCGTCGCTATACACCACATTATCTCGCGGATCTCTTGAACCCATTCTCGATTTTTACCGGTCTCTTAAATATTCGGTGGCAATAAGACAGCTCTAGATTTGAAAGCCTGCCATTTGCGGCTCATTGCAGCTTTTACCGATGATGTAATAGCTATCATCGTATCAAGTAAGTGATGAACCAATCTTAGCCATGCAATGGTAGCGGCACCCACTCCAATAATCTGGGGATCTGGGGAAACATCCATGGCTAAACATGTTCGGAAATGGGTTTTATCCTGTACGAAGTATATTATTGGACTCCGTTCTCACAATAGAATCCATCACGATGGAATGTTCCAGCCGCGTCATCATGTCATATATTGTGTTCCTCCACACTTCTCTCAAATCAAGAGAAAAACCAAAGTAATTCTACCAAGGAATACCATAGGTAGCGCGATGTCACGAGCGAAAAATTTGAATATATATTCGTTAATCCATGTTCTAGCTGTCCTCGATAGGAATTGAGTAAAATTGAACATCTCCCATCAATTACACCTTCTCAAAAAATGTTCTTCCAAAGATCCTCACTACTTGCGTTCATTTCACTGTATCTGGGCTTCATTCCAAGGACCGCCGGTCAAGTGCAGGCCAATTGCCTAAGTCAACAGATTTTGAAAAATGATTTGAATAATTGTATATGTGCTGGGGGCAACAATGAATGCCAGAATCAGTGTCCAGTTGGACCTGTTGCGCCAGTTATGCCAGCTCCAAACTGTGGGAGCCATCTACTCGGACACCTGCACTTGGATGACTGTGAACACCATTGCTTGACAGAATCAAATGACCTCTGTAAATCCTGTTGGATCTGGAACCTACCTCTCTGTCTTTGCTTGCAGAATGGTGGATGCCTGCAAAGCTCCAAAAACGCGCCTTACTGGGTCAAAATCACCTCGACACTAGCGACCACGAATTTAGCAATCCCGGACATTTTGAACCTGCAAGAAAATCACAAACTCCTGGCTGGATACGGGTGGGATTTTGGGCAGGAGACGGCATCCGACCCAAAAACCGAGTCGCTGGTTATCAACTCAGCCTACTCGATCACGGAGAATCAAATTCACATGCACGTTTGTAACATTAATACCAAGATGCGCGACTGGTTGGCTACCCTCTATCAAACCTCCCCTTCAGCCTATCAAACACTGGTTGAAATTCCACCACCATATCCTGCTGGAGAGAAAATGTTCTGCCGTGCGTCGCAAACCGCTGATCAGACTATCCCGGGGGATTCGATCTCCGATGATATCAACTCAGTCATTCAGCAGCAGCCTGTTTGCAAGTACTTTGTGGGTGCGGCCGTGATCAGAGATTCGAAGCACTATACTTGGGTATGTGTGACGGCCGATCATCTTAGTGCAGAATATGGAAGATTCTGTGCCTGATTTTGCTGGAGGCATCAGTCAATTGTCGGAGTATACGGACCGGCATACCGGAGGATTAATCCCATGTGTTTTGTAGGGAATTGCTAAGGGCACAACAGCTTTTTGTCGGAGTATACGGACCGGCATACCGGAGGATCAATGAATCCCATGTGTTTTGTAATTTAGTTTTATGTAGTTAATCATGGCCCCGTATAAATTGTGCAAGGGGGCCAATACGGATATTTTTGCACATACAGCCCAGCTGACAGTTATGAGCCCGGTTTGCACTGGACGAGACTACTATTGATTGGTATAGTATCTAGCACCCAGCTAGAAGTATCTCGCGAAGCCACAAGCTATACGAAGCTACCCCTATCGTCTAGTAATAGGAGCGGTATCGAGCCTCTCCGCCATAAAGGGCGAAAAACTGAAGGACGTACCTCAATAGCGCATCTAGTGAAGAACCTCCGGCTGTGTTCTAGATAGTTGAGGATTTTTGTGGGTGGCCTGGATATCGTAGGGTCATCGAGGGAACTCGATTGCGTATTTTCATATTTGGTTTCGACGACTGAGTATGAAACTCTATGCCAACCTTGGGTTGATCTCTTGTTTTATAGTGTTAGGTCGCTCTTGCCTTCCCGGCTTGATAGCTCCTTGCTCTCTGTATCTCTCACTCTGCTTTTTTGTTTTGTGTCGCAGTTAAACATTCTCGTGTGCCCTTGAGCTAGGTAGTCTAGTATGTGAGCGTGCGTTATAGATAAGCCAGCTTTAAGCTTTCTTTAAACATGGGATAGAGCAGAGCCCCTGCGAGGAAAATGGTCTGCGGAACCAAGAGGAAGATACATGGAGAGCGTCATGAATACATATTTAATATTGACCCAGATCCTGCGAATTCTTGGACGAAGCCATTAATGGACAAACTATCATCGATGCCCCTCAGAAGGCTTTTTAGAACAGGTTATACCCCAAGCCAAAGTACTCGCTTCGGAAAATCGAGTTTGTGGGCACACTTCTTGCCCAGGTCCTTAGGTGTTCTTGGCTCATGAGATTGTGAATACGGCGATGGTTCTCAGTGGGTATGATTTTTTGTCGCAAGGCTAGGGCTAGGGCGCACGATCTTCATGAGAGTCTCAATTTGAATTCTGGATCGTAGGTGTTGTTGAACGCGGCGCCCTGTGTCAAGCTCTGTTATTATTGGATCGGGTGTAAATGAATCTGGGGATCTCAAGGCCAATGGTGAACCATGGATTTGTCTTGTGTACGGGGTTGTGGTCTTGAGATGGCCCGAGGGATGTTCTATGGTTGTTGCAGCTTGGCAAGGCGGTGAATAGAGACAGAATAATTACGGTCGCAGATTCTCCCAGCGCTAGCGAGTTTCAGGTCCAACCCACAAATATTCTAGAAGCTCACCCGAGTTAGCTGGGAGGTATGGCGTCGAGTCTGGGCTGGGAGTTGACAGCTGAAAATGGCAAGAATACCGAATTGATGAGACGATCTGAACTCAATATGGCCATATCTACTCCGTCGTGATTTGTCGATCTGGTAGAGGTCATGTTATAAGTAGTACGTACAATGTACGATGTACATCGGAAACAAAGCGATGCGTTGTACAGGATAAGAGGAATAGGAATAGCATATCATTTTGATATACGGAATACGAGTCTGGCATTGTTCAGGCGAATGTCTCAGGTCTATGTATAGACTGTTTGAGGCGAGTGGCCATACCTTGGCTTGGTGGCGTCGAGACAGACGGTTTTAGCGAGTAAACAAGTAAACAGTCGGATTAATTTCTGATTGGAGTATTCTAGAATCCGAGCGCGTTTGATGTTGACCCCTATGTATGTTGTAGTTTGACCCCCTTAGACCCTTTTAATAACAATAGCGTTGGACCCCAGACCCCTGAAGAGATCGACTTGCCTAGATGGAGATGCGTCATGCCAAGCTAGTGTTATCCACCAGAGAATATAGTCGGGGTACTACTAGTTAAGTTATGTTGTGTAAAAGGGTATACGCGTCTATATAGGTGTAATGATAAATATAGTCATACATACATGCCAGTCGTGTATTGTAGGTTGTACTCGTAAGTTGGATAGGACCTGACGATCCAAGAAACAAATAAATAGATAATATAAATGAAATATATCGAATTGGCCAATCAAAGCTATGCATCGAGGGTCATCCCCACTGTAAATCCACAGTCGACCCTTGCTGATCGGAACAAAACAGCGAGGATGTGCATAGGACCTTGGCGTAGCACAGCCCACGGGTCTTGGCCCAAAACCCTTTATCCCTTGCTCTTGCTGTCTTCTCTTCTCCTTCCTTTCAGATTTCGTTTCTCAGTCTGTCATTCACTCTCTTTTAATCCGAGCGCATCTTTCTCCCACTCTCGTTCATCCCATCGCTCTTTTATTTATTCTCACATTATGAAGTCCACAGTAGCTTCCATGGCTACGGCCATCACCTTGGGTGCCTCGACCGTCCTTGGTGCCGCAACCAACCTCCAGGCCCGTAGCAGTGATATCACTCCGATTACTGTCAAGGGTAACGCCTTCTTCAAGGGCAGCGACCGGTTCTACATGCGCGGTGTCGACTACCAGCCCGGTGGTTCTTCCAACCTCACCGATCCTATCGCTGATGCCGATGGGTGCAAGCGTGACATCAAGTACTTCAAGGAATTGGGCCTGAACACTATCCGTGTCTACTCCGTCGATAACTCTCAGGACCACGATGAGTGCATGACTGCCCTCGCTGACGCCGGCATCTACCTCGTTCTCGATGTCAACACCCCCAAGTACTCCATCAACCGTGCCGAGCCTGAGATGTCCTACAACGATGTCTATCTTCAGTACATCTTCGCCACCATCGAGATGTTCGCCAAGTATGACAACACCCTGGCCTTCTTCTCTGGTAACGAGGTCATCAACGACGGTCCCTCCTCCAAGGCCGCTCCTTATGTCAAGGCTGTCACCCGTGATATGCGCACTTACCTCCGCTCTCGCAAGCTCCGCTCCGTCCCTGTCGGATACTCCGCCGCCGATGTCGACACCAACCGTCTCGAGATGGCCGAGTACATGAACTGCGGTACCGATGACGAGCGCAGCGACTTCTTCGCCTTCAACGACTACTCCTGGTGCGACCCCTCTTCCTTCACCACCTCCGGCTGGGACCAGAAGGTGAAGAACTTCACTGGCTACGGACTCCCTCTCTTCCTTTCCGAGTACGGCTGCAACATCAACACCCGCAAGTTCGAGGAGGTCAAGTCTCTCTACTCCACCGAGATGACTCCTGTCTACTCTGGCGGTCTGGTCTACGAGTACACCGAGGCGGGCAACAAGTACGGCTTGGTTACTGTCTCTGGTGACTCCGTTACTACCAACTCCGATTACAAGGCTCTCAAGACTGCCTTCGATGGCACCAAGAACCCCACTGGCAACGGCGGCTACAACTCCACCGGTGGTGCCTCCGGTTGCCCTAAGATGCAGAAGCCTAACTGGGACGTCGACACTGATGCTCTCCCTGCCATGCCCTCCCCTGCCAAGAAGTACCTGACCGCAGGTGCCGGCAAGGGCTCTGGCTTCGCCGGCAAGGGCAGCCAGAACTCCGGCACCAAGTCCACCACCACTGCCACCCAGGGCTCCGGTGACGTCGCTGCTGCCACTAGCGGTTCCACTACTTCTGCTACTAGCACCAGCTCCACTGGTGCTGCCCCCAGCCTCAAGCCTTTCCAGTTCAGCTTCGCCCCCGCTACCGTCGGCCTAGTCACTGTCGTGTCGGCTGTCTTTGGCGCCAGCTTCATCCTTCTGTAATGCTCCTACCTTCATGAAGGGGCTTCATACTTTTTTCGATTCTCCCTGACTTGTATCTTTTTTAACTGGCTTTCATCTTTTACCCCGTGATGATCATCGCTTGGGCTTGGCAAATTGGAGGACGGCGGGTTGCTTTCCAGTTGGTTTATTGCAGCCCTTGGTATCTAGTGTTCAATGAAACAGAGCTTAACTGCTCATATATTATCTTGCTAGTAACTGGTATAGAAGGAAATCTCACTAAACCGTAATTCCAATCAAACCCCCTCAGCAAGAGCTTGTCTCCGCGACTTCGACAACGGATCAAAATACGGGATCTCCCCAAGCGAAACGACCCGATTACCCTGACGCTTCCCATTGTAGTCACTGTCCTGTATCAGCATCGTGGTTCTAACATCGTAAAACAAAAGAGAATAGTCCCACTCACTTGGTAGCAGTATGATAAACCGACCGACTAAACACACCAACGTCAGCATATTCCCCATCTCCTCTTCACGAAGTAACTAGTATCATACTTATCCCAAATAGCAAGATCATTCCTCCCCCACCTAAACCGAACCTGCAAATCATGATTCTCAAAAAGAAGCCGGTTGACTATATATCCAAATAACTCATATTAGCAAAGTATCTTTCCAGCTTCCAGCCTTCAGCCTGTAACTAGTAAGTAGTCAAACTTACACAGTTTCTTCAAGACCTCGCTTTCAAGCTGCGTCACACCCTCAATCCAGCCATGCTCGACCTGCTGTCCCGCGCCGAAGAGACTCTTCCAGCCTGTAACCGGGTTCGTTCGGATGAGGGGGCTGTTTGGGTTCCATTGGTTAGTTTTTGCATGATCATTCTTGGGTGACAGTCAGAAGATAGGCAAGTAGTGTCTTACTGCGTCGCTTTGAAATCAAACCCTGTGTTCTCCGGTGCGCCTCTATCACCTTCGATTAGGTCTATGCCGTGTTCTTTGGCGACTTTGTTGAATGCAGGCTGTTTTGTTATTAGTACATATACTTGTTGCACATTTATCAATATCCATGTGGCCGAGTCAGGTGAATACAGTGAGTGCGGGTCACGTAGTTACGTACCTGGTAATGCACGACCTTCAACTCCTCCGCTAACTTCTGTATACTCGGCGAGAGTCGATCGTACAGCTCATACCCCGATGCCCAGAGCGTATCGCCGCCGGATTGGTCTTCGGGGAGATCTGTTATCTTTAGCAGGGCGTAGTCGGATGGGACGCGTTCAAATGTTATGCTTTGGTTCTTGTTAGTCTATTTCCGCGTTATGGGTTTGGGTTCAGCACTGGGGAGACACTGGAGAGTGAGTGGGAGGGAAACATACTCTGCGTGCCATCCTTGGCTTGCGAGACGGCCGTTCAGTGGCTTGTATCTCTCGCCGTATAGTTTGCGGTTGACCTGTGGCTGTCAGATATAGTACTTTATACTTTATTCCCACATGGCTGCTGAGGAAGTCATAGTCAGTTACCTCAGAGGAAATAACGGAAATCTCATCGTCTAGATGGCCGTTCTCATCGACCGCGATTCCCCTCTTACTATTTGCGACGGCGTGGCGGTGGAGCTGTACATAAGCATATGTTTTTCAATAGTTAACTAGATCTAGTACGATGGGATCTGCTCACCTTTGATGTGCTCGGCTTTCCAGTCAGCTCGCCCAGCTTCTGGCCGAGGACCTTTTGCTCCTCGGAGGAGATATCCTGGTCGCGGAAGAACACAACGCCCCGTTCGGAGACTATGTGGTGTTAGTGTTTGGTTCATTTGGTGGATCTTTGGTTAGTATAGGGTAACTATAAAATGGACTCACCAAGAATCGCCAGATCCCGGATTTTCGCCTCGTCTTTCAGGATCTCGGTGAGTTGCACACGTGGGAATTCAGTCCCGATAATGGGTGTCGTGTTGAAGTTCTCGTACTCATTCAAGCTTCCTGATGACTTGAGTGGTGAGCGAAGAATACTGGGTTGCGGGGTATCGGTGGCCTTGGCTTTGATATCTAGATCCTCGGCGTGGTCCTGGGTAGTGATTGCTGGCGACATTGTGATGCGTGTGAGTGGTATATCGTGTATTGTTCCAAAATCAATTACCTCTCCTGTTTTTGAGGAGTATGCACTCCTTATATGTGCGATTTGACAAGTATATTTCCCCTCGGAAGTCGTGAGAAGGTTCGTCTATGCCGGGCTGTGATCTTGCACCATCGCCTCTAAAGTTTCATCTTCGAGGCACGGATTGGCCTATCTTGTGATGACGACACAGTGCTTACAGTTTGGATATTGTTATGGTGGGATGGTGTGATCTCCATCCCATGGAGTTGGTCAATTGAAGGTTCTCCGTGTACATGTAGCAATCTGTGCCGTATATGGCGTATAAGAGGGTGATGAGGAGTACGAAGTGCAAAATCAGGATTTCATCTTATAGCTACTATTGATAGGCATAACAATACGAGTTGTTCTGTGAATTCCGAGGTCACAGACACATTGATACTCCATGTTTTGTTCTATAGAAATCTAAATATCGCTGTAGCTAAATATTACCTATACAAACTTGTTATATATCCAACACAATGCTTAGTCCAATAAATAAGCAAATCAAAGATCTATGTTAGTCAAGCAGTCATTAGGGAATCTATCACCCCGACCCACCAAATCAAGCTGCTTCTGCAGCCGGGGCAGGAAGAGCACCAGCCGGAACAATCGGCTCAATATCAAACCGCATATGCAGGTCACGTTTCAAAAACCAAGTATGGATTCTAGTAATCCGATGCGTACCCATAGGCCAAGCCCCTAGAACAAGACAAGCCACCGCCCTGCCCAGCTGCGTTCCCAGGATCTGCTGGAATTCAGGAGTATTCATATCCCAAGCATAGATCGTCGGTGTTGTACCTCTTGTCTCAGGACCGGGAAGATCGTTATTTCGGTAGAGCACCTTCCCCACCAAGGGGAGGGTCTCATCATTCTCAACTTCTACCATGAAAACATACCGGAGAGTACCAATCGCGGCGTCCTGTTTGTATAAAGCTAGCGCAACATCAGACCATCGGGGTCCCCACTCCATTCTAAAAATCGAGGTGGCAATGATAGCACCCTTGACGATGCAATGGTCGTAAGAGGACACATGGTGTACTTGTTCATTTCTCGCATTGCGCTGTAGAGATGAATGACGGTATTTCTTCAATCTCGGATTCTTTGGAAGGTCAGTCGATTTAAGACTCTCTCTGATCTCGATTGGTGGGACAACGAACGAGGATTCCCATACACTGAATAATGGCTCGTCCGGGGGATTGGCTTCGACTAGAGCGGCGATCGTTAGTGTGGACTGGGTCACTGGGCATGCTGGGCCAGCTGGGTTGGTGTTGGCCATCCAGGCTTCATATTGAGCACCCGTTGTTCGATACTTGTCGATTTGTGCCTTTTCGGGTGTTGGTTGTAATATGTAGATTTGGTCTGGGTTTATATTCGCGGAAATATTACCCATGTACATGCTAATATTCCCGGGACTCGTAGGTAACTCAGGAAGGTCTGCCCTGGGATCTTGCTCGGCGGTGTTCACTGGTAACGGATTAAGATGTGTCGATATGCCCTGTGATTCCCTGGTCTTTAGCTTGGATCGAACTTGTGCGAGTTTTGATTGCATAGGGGAGCTACGTTCGGCCGGAGCCAGTCTGTCATTATCGCCGTCGTCACCGTCGTCGTCACGTTTCCGCTTTTTGTCCCCAGAGGTGTCGGCTTCAGTAGACGCGGTGGCACCCGCTCCACCTTCTGGTACTGGCGGTGGTGCTTCATCATCATTTCCACCGTCGGTGTTATTACGACGGAAGAAATTAGCGACTTTCTTGAAGGGCGAAGAGTGAGATTCGGACATCGTGTTGAAAATGTCAAATTCTGATCTTGTTAGCCAGGAGCTGATATGCTTGACTGGCTTAGCTAGATGCTGGACTAAGCAGGTATTATATAGTTCGAAACAAAAGGTCATTCTAAGAGATGTCGAGTCAGTGTTTACATCCAGTCTATGTTAAGATGAAACAGACAGAACAATGAAAAAGATCTGAAGACAAGAAGGCTTACACAAGTGACTTGATAAAGAACAAAGAGAGCCGAGACAGAGCATGTGAATCAAATGGATGGGAGATGAAGTCCTCGAATGTAAGCGTATGATGCAATGAGAATCACATTATGCAAACAAAGCAGTGTCTAGTATGCTAAATTTAGCTTGAAGCCAAGAGTCCAGAATTCAACGTGAAAGAACTCGATCCGCCAAGGTCAAGTCCTGAATGAACATGTTGAGAGTGATTTCAATCTCCCAGGAAGCATAAAACGTCACGAACTCGCATGTATAGATTCATGATAATATCCAAAAGTAGATCAGTTGATGGAGGTATTGAGAAAATGAAAGTCCAAAAGAATTGACTGACATCTCGTTAGCCCTGAAGAACTTCGCGTAGTCCCTGCCACACTGGAGCAATTAACAGCAGACCGACATACTCACAATTAACTGTTAGCACCCCATCCTGCAGAAAATCTCCAATCTCGCCCAGCCTCTCCGATCCCTCTCACCAAACCTACAACATTATCAACAAACCCAGCTTCACCGCGATTTACCCTCTCCCGGCGCTCGGTCTCAGTATCCGAACTCGCAGCACGAAGATTAACCAGCTGCTGCGTACTATATCCCTGCAAGCGATCCGCATCCATCCTCGTCAAAATACTACCGTCCCCACGCCGCTGGGTCCACGCCGCCTGCTTAACAGCTGGGGCCCAGTACTCCGCCAGGGTAGACTCATCGCGACCAAATGCGTAGCACTTAACCAGCGGAGAGTCAGAATCCTCTGGTATAAGCGACGCGTTCCAGCGCGTGTGGACGACTTCGTACCTCTTCTCCATGAAGAAGATAACTGGCCACGTGATAATCCAGAGCTGAAGAAGCACGACAACCCACCAGACGAAACGGTTTGTGCGGAGGCGGTTGATCCAGTGCGGGGAGTATATTGTGACGGAGCGTCGGCTGATGGAGAGACCGAAGCTTAGGGAGCCGCGGTAGTTGAGTTCACGGATGTGGGAGGAGAGGACGTTCTGCATGGCGTTGGAGTCGAAGCCGGAGACTTCGCGGTGCAGTGTGAATCTGGATAGGGAATCGAGATTAGCTGTGTATTTTGTGCGAGTAGGAGCAGAGCATACGATTTCACAGAAGCGGGGTCACTGCAGAAGCGCTCGCACCACATCTGTAGGTTTCTCGCGTCTGGAGAGCTGTTGTTCTGCTCGTCGGCGTTATCTCGGCCTAGGAGGGCATCGCTGTCCCCCGTGAGACTGATAGCGGCACGCGACTTGGGCGGCTTGTACGTGCGCGAGCGGAGGATTCCTCCCCGATACGCCGGTCTGAGATCCTCATCGCTGAGGACTTCCACTTCTCTCCAGTTTGTGACCATGTATCCGCCCTCCCAGCCGGTCAGCATGGTCTCGGCCAGATCCAGTCTGAACTGGAAGTCTGTGACCGTGTTGCTCTTCTCTTTCTTTTGGTCATTGCTCGTTTCGGTGTGGGTGCCATGGATGGAGAGTAGCGGCCGTGGCGGCAGCTTTATTTGTAGGCGGAGGACATTGTACAGCTCATCGCTGTTGCTCGAGAGCGCTGGTTCGAGGCTGAGAGAGTCCTTGCCGCCGGGGAGACAATAGGCCGAGTCGATTAGCCGGAGCGGTCGGATGCTTTGGGGAGGTTGTACAGGCTGAACAGGTTGGACAGGTTGGACCGGGGCGAGAATGGGTTCGGGGTCATCGGTATACGGAGGCGGCGCGTCGTCGTCCAGAGAATGGAGTGAGTGCGACGATGACGCGTGTTGAAGACGACCCATCACTTCGGTATTTAGAGCGAAGTAATCAAATTAATGAAAGTGATCAAAGGGAAAGATATTATAAAGAGAAAAGAAAGTAAAATTGAGAAAGAGAGGGGTTTTCAATGTTAGAGGCTCTAAGACCTCGTATTACACAGCCCAGCACCAGTTGACTACCTATTCTATTTATACCACCTTTCACCTTTCACTTCATCCAACATAACACTTAAAAGATACAAATTTCGGGTCCATCTGTTGGCGATCATGGCACAAACCAGGACCCCTCCAGCCATAAGTTTGGGAAATGTCGCTGACAAGATCGCACGTCGGATTAGGAGAGACGGTACAGAGACCATTCGACATACGCCATGATTTGGGACTATTCAGAGCATCGCTGTGACAGTCCCGCCACTCCCATTTACCGTTTTGTAGAGTCCACCAGCGACATGAAACGGCTGTGTTGTTGACCACGGTCGCTAAGTTGCTCGCCGCGCGGAACTTCATGCAGTCACTGTCCTCCAATTTCTTGTTGTGACCTTGGACCAACACGTAGCTGCCAGTGCAACCAATCCCATCGAACATTTTCAGTGACCATCCGTTGGATACGGTGACGATACCATTCACGGTTTGTGTGGAGACTGGGACGGTTGTGGTTGTAGAAGTCTTAGTTGTGGAGGTTTTGGTTGTTGTAGACTTAGTAGATGTAGCCTTGGTAGTACTTGAGCTTGTGGCGGCTATAGAATCTCGCATCTTGCTCGCCACAATACTGAGCTCATTGGCTACCATATAGAGACCAGCAGTGCCAGTAACAGTGACAACAGAAGCCCTAGTAGTAGTGCTAGTAGGAGCGGCAGCTGACATGGATGTGGTCTCGTGTAGATATGTCAAGGGTACATCTACCAAGGGTATATCTGTCGTGAAAAAATATGGATCTTTGTTGGAAGTTGTCGAGGATACATCTTTAACTGTCAATGATACAGCTTTGGTCGCAGGTGCAGCTTTAGTTTCAGATGATTTTGACGTAGCTTTAGTTGTAGATGTTTTCACAGATGTAGCTTCAGTTGCGGATTTAGTTTTGGTTGTAGTTTTCACTGTAGTCTTCACTGATGCTGCTTTAGCTTCAGATGTAGTTGATATGGCTTTAGTTGCAGGCACAGGTGGCAAGGCAGCTGCAGATACAGATGAGACACAGAAGTCTGCACCGGTACCACATTGACCACTTGTAGAACACTATAGATATAGTCAGTCTAGACTGCGAGATCAACATCCAATATTGGTAAAGCTCACACATTGACCCGCAGGGCATGGATTCAAATAGGGAATGTCGGTCCACAACAACGGACGTTCTGTTCCGGGCACTTGGGGACCACAGACTGCATCACCAATTGCAACTGGCATTGGGGGCTCGCCGGCACTGAGACAAACCTGGCCTCCTTGCTGCAGATTATTGCATCCGTACCATGCCGAGGTATGGGTGTTCCAAGTCTCGATATTGGCAGTGGTGATACTGTACCCCTCGGCAATCTTCGCGCAGGTATCGCCAGTGCGGATAGTATAAACGTAGCAGTAAGAACCACTGTCCGGTGGAAAGAGAGTTTCTCCGTCCCCGCAGCATACGGGTTTCCCGTGAGACAAAGAGGAGCAAACAGTAGTCGGGTTGAAGGAAGTGAATGATGCTACCGAGATACTACACTTGGCAGCCAGATTGTCGCATGTATCTCCAGTTTCAACAAGAATAGAGCGACATGTGTAGGGATAGTAAACGGACCGGTCTTGGATCACTTTGTACTATCTTGGGTTAGAATCTGGGGTACAGGATGTGGAGTTGAAGAAGTAGGCACTAACCTCGGGTGCAGCTACAGACAACGCAACTATTTCATGAACCAGAAGGAGACTGCATAGAGCGAGAAAGATCCCTTTTTGAAAATACCCCATCTTGTGTAGACTTGCCTGAGAGGACGACACTCTGAAGAACACATCGCGCAGCTATATATATATCCCTAAAGAACTACACCACAAATGTCACGCCTGAAAGCAACATCGCGGAGGTAACGTGCATTGATGCAGCCAGTGAATAATATGAAACACAGATATGCTTCATACAGTAAGGCGCAGGGTCTAAGAGTCCCCGAAGAGCCACTTGAAATCACTCATTCTCGAGGACACCATCTTGAATTGTTGTAAGAACAATCTAAAGTGCCTCCTCCGCCACCGTCAACAAAGAAGGTCGTTGCATCCGAGGAGCCCCCGGTAAAAATGTGACCTCGAATAGCCTTTGTTCGAATCCTTCTCTTTCCTCTTCGGAGTTTGGATAGCAGATTCTCTTTGAAGAAGCGATATAACTTACCATACTGCCAAGAGTCTTGGCTACCAGGGTAATAGATGCATCAAAACCACCAGTTTGTGGGAGTTAATGACAACAAAACAAAGGAAAGACTCAAAGAGAGACAGATAGATGTTACAACACTTTATATCTCCTTTCTCAATCAGCCTCAATTCTATTTGCTGTAGGACAAACCATCAAAAAGATAGCGCTCATCCCTGGGACCAGTCCAATGCCGTATATATATTGGACGAACATGATTATTAGCGAGGATTCCAAAGCTGAGTGCCATTATAGTGCGTGTGACCGAGTCAAAGAAGTAATATCCAGGGGTTGGAATAACAAGACTGGCTAAGGGCTTATCGTCTTTGTGCCACAATTCAAGGGTTAGGGACAGGGTTTCAGAAATAGCTTCTTGGAATTGAGACATCCTAACTGGGTAGCATTGGAAATCTGGAGATACCCAAGATGGCGTTTTGAGAGTGATATAGATATTCTCCAGAGCTATTCCTCATTCAAAGGCTGACTCTTGACATGCCCATACATCGACGTGCGACCAGCAGAGATGGGAGTATATGGCTAGGAGCAAATCTAGACTTCCAGATACAGCATGTTTGTCTTAGGGTGACGAAAGTGGTATGGCCTGAGCCTACATACTAAGTTGCGCTATATGAACTCAACTAAATATTGCTTGAAGCCCAAAAGGACCCCGGCGGTTGATGCATATAGACCCTCTAAGATAATTCTATCTGTATTCAGACTTGATTCCTTTTATAGACTCTTGTTAGCTTCTTTCTTTTAAATATCTCTTAGCCATCGAGAAAATATGCACTCTCTAGCCGTGGTTTATATAAAACTCCTAGGCAATAAATGCTTAGAGAGATATGTACGGCTTAGTGATGCATTCAGGTATGCTCTGATGTATTGAATGTCTCCATGCAGGTTGGCAAACCTCTCTTTGCTTGCTGTTTTGGCACCTAAGAGCTTTGTGTCTTTGTACTCACGAAGCTATTAAGAAAGCTCATGGCAGTATCTAGATGATCATCAACATTTTATCTCACATCATTCTCTCCTCTTCAGAAATGTAGACAGTATACGTGCATCACGTAGAAAATGTATTTTACGAACAGTTGAATACACCTGGATTGCAGCCTCTGACCTATAGCGCTTCAACCAAACAGATATCTGCTTCATGGACACACTACTCGATGCATCCGAGATTGAGCACACTGATATTGTAGCCCCATTCCCTAAGACAAGCTCTAGAAGGAAGTGCAATGGCTAGAGCATTCATATTGAAGTAAAGTGCCTCAAGCTTCGACGACATCATAGGTATACACCTAGGCATATAACCTCCTTCCTCGTTTTGTTAATCATCGTGTTAAACGTTTAACGCGTTTGATTCCTACTTATTTTGATTTCTTTTTTCCCCTGCACGTCTCCTTGTTCAATCTTCACGTATCTATTTCCCAGCTTTGTATCATTCATCCTCTGCTTCATCACCACAATGGCTTCTATCCAGAATGTCCCTAACAAGGACGTCGCTCACCCGGACGTCGCTCATTCAGACGTCGCTCACCCAGACGTCGCTCATCTAGGCGTCGCTCAGCAGGATGTAGCTCACGAGGACATCTCTCACCAGGACGTCACTAACCATGTCGCTCAACATGATGTCGCTCACCAGAGTGTTGCTCGACAGGATGCCTCTGCCTTCAATCAGGCTCCTTTTAACCAGGCTGCGTGGCTTACTGCCAAATCAGGCCGTCCCCTCAAGATCGGCATCGCGCCATTCACACCTCCGTCTGCCCATCAAATCGTTGTCAAGAATGGTGCTGTGGCTGTCAATACCGTTGAATGGACCAAGAAGTTGATGGGCAACATGATGTCCCCCTGGGTCAAGTACCCGTTTGTACTCGGAAATGATTGCGCTGGTGAAGTTGTGCAAGTCGGTGACATGGTCAGTCGCATCAAGGTTGGTGATCGGGTTCTTGCCCACGCCCTCTCCATGGATCCAGCTGTCAACAAATCTTCTGAAGGTGCTTTTCAAATCTACACTGTGATCCGTGACAATATGGTCACGGTTATTCCGGATTGGCTCTCTTACGAAGAGGCTTGCGTCATTCCCCTCGGACTGTCAACCGCCGCGACCGCCTTGTTCCACCGAGACTTCCTATCTCTCAGTCTCCCTGGTACTCCGCCGGGCACTGGCCCAGAATGGCTTCCCGAAGTGGTCCTGGTCTGGGGTGGATCGACCAGCATCGGTTGCAGCGCCATCCAGCTCGCCGCCGCAGCTGGTTACGAGGTTATCACCACTTGCTCTCCCAAAAACTTTGAATATGTCAGTAATCTTGGCGCATGTGCGGTCTTTGATTATCGTGACAAGGCCACCATCCAGCAAATCGTTGAGCTTCTCGAGAACAAGAAAGTTGTCGGCGCCATCGCTGTTGGGGACGACTCAACTGATGCTTGTATCGAAGTCCTCGCGAAGACAAACGGCTCGAAGTTCGTGGCGCGGGCCAGCTTTCCACCCCCGAAAAGAATCATAAGTACAACCTTCCAGCTATTCCGTGCCATGGCAGCCTCGGTTCGGTCGAACATCAAAACTTTCATCAAGGCGAAACGCAGTGGTGTGAAAACGAAGTTCATCTCCGGTACCTCTGCGGCCCATAACGAGGTTGGTGCTATGGTTTATGACCACTTTCTCCCTGGAGCTCTTGCCACTGGGGTTTTCGTTGCTGCTCCCAAGCCGCGCATTGTGGGGAAGGGTCTGGCCCAAATCCAGCTTGCTATGGATTGCCACATGAGGGGTGAGGCAGCTCAGAAGGCTGTTGTCTCGCTTTGAATTTGTCACGAGCCGGTTTCGGGTGTTGTTCTTGTTTGCTCTCGTCTGAAAGGGCACATGCAGGACCTAGGAGACTAGGTAATCAATATGCAATGAAATCCTAATTCAATCTGAACACAAAGTGAGTAAAATTAAAGATCAAGGTCATACTTGTAGTGAGAGGAATACATTCTCAAGAATACCCGCCTTATGATCGATATGTAATATGAATGGTACTTGACTCAAAGACACTGACTACTTGAATACTACAATACTACATCTGTATACGCATACAAGACCAAAGAAAATAATTGAAAACAGAAGTATCCCAACGCCTCCCCACTCTCGATATGGTGAGCTAAAACATATTCATTTCCAAGAAGAAAGGTGGCTCCGGCTGACCTGTGACTTCAGACATAGTACACCCTTGAACAGTCGACAGGTTGCACACTTTGTGAAACGAATCATAGTCCGAGTCGAGCAGCTCCAAGTAGCTCGTAGCCAAATTATTCCCACCTTGCAGAACTCGCAAAGCTTTTTTCACATCCTCCAACTTATGCTGTTTATCCTCCGACGCGGAGACACATGTACTCGGTCGATCGGCATGTGTCTTGAGAAACTTTGCCGAGAGATAGAGTAGCATGGGAGAAAATGCATGCGCCTGTACAACCTTGTCAGACACAAAACCACCGTCAATTCACGGGGAGCAAAGGGGGTGGTCTCACTTTAAAAAAGCTGGATCGGGTGAGCGGCTTCGCTAAACCTACTATCTCGTACGCGGAGTAGAGAGGAACCAGGATAATCTCATCATCAATTTCCACATGCAGGGCCTCTATTATGTTGTAGAGCCATATCACAGCGGCATTGGCGAGCATGTTTGTGAAGAGGCGCATGGGGTCGTGGAGTTCGGGCGAGGACGGGGGTAGTGAGATCAGCATCAGCCGCTGCTGTCCCATTTGGTATAGTCGAGTATGGCGTTTCCAGCTATCTCCCTGGCTCGGAGACGTCTTATCACCGTGCGCGGCTCGCTGGAATGCAACGCTGTGCCAGCACAGCGTGATCAGGACAATTGTCTCCGCGAAAGGCGGTAGCATTTTCTGTCCGGAGGCCTCGATCTCGTCATATAAGGAGTCCATAATGACTGGCCTGCTGTGCTGGAAGTCTGACTCCGAGACGGGGAGATATATGCATAGCTGGAGATGTTAGTGTCACTCAGAGCATTCTGTAAAAAAGGAGTAATTGCTCACTGCTTCCTCGTGCAGACTTAGAGGCCACTCGTCAGAGATATTGAGGAATCGATCTAGACAATATGCTAGCCAGTAGGTCCGTCGCTTTTCCTCGGCCTCGGCCCAGGCTTCGGGGTGTGCCATGTTTATACTAATGTCATTGAGCCGATCAATCTCGTGCAATTTGGCGAGTTGGATAATGCGAAATGCACGTCCTGCGGTAAGCCAGGCTCGGCGATAGCTCATGTAGCGGAACTCATAGTGGGTTAGAAGAAGCCACGCTTGGGCTGCCTGAAGACAGGCCGCACCGCTAGATTCAATATCGTTATCAAGGGCCTCAATCCCGGACCGCGCACGGCTGTAGAGAGACTCTCGCATGTGCTGTAAATGGGCAGATGAGGCCGCTGCAAGTGTCCACATTGCAAATTGCAAGCAGACGTGAGAAGCTAGTTTGTTAAATCTCTGTGACCAGGAGAAGTACCGGCCCTGGTGGAGCATTGGCGCGACAGGGTGTACTCTGTCAAAATATAGTTGATCCCTTCGCTAGCTGTTAGAAATATCCGGACTTAGAGGGTAAGCTTTGCATACAGATCTGCCTCGATTATATCTGAGCTCTCATGGTCAGGTGGGGTCATTGGTGTAATAGGTGAAGTTATTGTCGATGCCTCAATGGAGTAAATAATGTCACGACATTCGTCTTTTGTGGCATTGGGGATGTAGTCCTGGGGCGGGCTGAGCATTTGAGTTGTCTCGTCGGAGTGATATTTCTCACTGCCGTCCAATATTTCGTTGGGACAGAGATTGCCCTGATCACAATTTATGATGCTTTCCAGTGTGGCTAACGATAGAATTAGCAGGGAAGGTGTATAGGTCACATTTTGAACACACCAATGCGATTGCGCAAAGCCTTCAGATGTCCCTTCTTGGGGCCCCGTGGCGAGCGAACCTGATTCACAAGGCAGGCCGTACCAGAATCCTCGCACTGGTCACATTGAGGCCGTCGTCTATTGCATCGAAGTTTCTTTTTGCGGCATTCCTCACAAGCCTAAGTTGTCAGCGCCAAGAGTTACTTTATGAGCTAAATGGCTATTGTCTCACCAGTCCAGGCTGCTGTCGTGAGCCTGACATATTGAGGAGTTGAATAGAATGCTGATGTGCTGATGTGCTGATGTTCTGATGTTCTGATGTTCTGATGTTCTGATACCACTGTGCCTCCAGTAAGAATAAGACTATCCGAGTCAATGACACAGGTATATGTAGTGGATATTTATAGCTGTCAACTAAGACTATTGAGTGCACTCCAGCCTGAGTCGCTCAAGCGTCGGCAATTATAGATTAACTATTGGTTTCGCCAGATACCCTCCCCTGTAGAAAGCTTCTTTCACGATCTTCCAAATTTGGCAACTTGTACTTGTCGAAAGTCTACTCCTCTTCCCCGATGAAGTCCGAAGAGAACTCCTACGTATGGTGTGATCAGCACTACATCCGAAATGACCCCATACTCATGACCTCACGTCTTTCAGCTAACCAAGATAGTGCCTGCCAAGGGTAAATGGCTAATGATCTAGATAGCTTTGAATAAACTTCCCCGCCTGCGCTGGGTGCAGCGTTAGTATTTTTATCACGCCACTTGGGTAGCATAGATAAGCTGGATGGTGGTAGTAAGTATCAACCAGTTAACCATGTTTGTCGATTGTTGATCAGAGGTTGAATGATCTGTCATCTTGGTGTTAGGTCTGTTAGCCGAATCGGTTAGTTGCTCAAGATTGAGGTTCGGATTGTTAATCTAGTGTGGCAGGTTGTGTGGATATGCCACGCCGACTGGCTGTTACATATCTCAACCGCGGCACATGCAGCACGTGGACAATGATTTGGAATTGATAATTCAAATCACACCTACTACGCAACAAGCTGAAATGGAAGTAAAGCTGATTCTCGGCCTAGTTGAGCCAAGAGAGTGTAGCACAAAACAGTTGTGAAATGTACGGGGCATTGATTGTATCATTGGCTCGTTTCAGAATATCTTCTTCGATCTCAGACGCAGAAGTAGTATGGTATCTAGAGTGTTTGGCGGTTTGGATGTATCTTTCATGGTTGAGATAAGGGTCTTGGATGCAGGTTTCCGTAATAATCTCATTGACTATTGGACAGATATAAAGATCAATTGACAGGATGAGAATCTCGGCCCATGACTGCCTAAGCGTATCAGAAAATGGATTGGGTTACAGCTAGATCAGGTAGGACCGAATATCCGGAAATCTCACATATTGATCTGCTCTCCGCGACATGATAAACTGAACCTGATCGAAAGGGTCTCTTGCAGCAATTCCAATGGCACCTAGTACATTTCCCTCGTGGCTACAAATTGATATTGTTGCAACCGGAAACATCAACACAACGTAACTTCAAGAAAAAAGCTTGGATGTGACTTAACCTGGTCGACTGATCATGGTAGCAATAAATAGATGCACATTGTACGCCTTTGCCCCACATTACAAGTTAAATCTCTCTCTTATTGGTGAATATTCCCCTGTGAGAGCCACGCGAGGCTATCGCACACACCGGGGGCTACACTAACCAAATACGGTAGGTACAGCGTAATATACTATCATCTCAATGTAATAGTTTATTGCTGATTGATTTCCAAACTACCATTTGCTCGGGGGAATTAAGCACAAAGGCAATCAAGCCAAGTGCTATGATGGACTGCACCATCCGCTATCGGGACCTGCGTCATCCTACTGCCACCGCTAGGACTACGCGGGGCTTATCTCGTGCACTTCAGCTAGTTCCGGCACCTACTCACGGCAGTAGATATTGTGAGATTATAATGTTGATAGGCTCCCTATCGCCCCGGGTCAAAAAAAAGGGTTGTACGTATTTGGAATTGATAAAAGGCTATAGTCCTTGAACCCCATGTGACCTTCGGCGCGCGGCTCTGCTCCCCATTGTGTACCTCGGCAGTGATATGGTGCTTACTCATCGGTCATTATTGGAATCTCGACTAGCCAGATTCGGTTTCTGCAGGATCTGTCGATATGCAATGTCGCAGTAGGGTGTGGCTCGGCCACCCTATTGCAGTCCTCGAGTTCGGGCTAACGGAATGTCCCAGGCGGAACAGAATTGCACTAAATCTCACAAATTCTAGGCGTAAAATGCTTCGTAGCACGTGTGCCTCGAAACCCACGAACGAACACAGTCATATCGCGCTTGATCCAGACGGGAATAGATTCTGTTTATACAGCTGTTCAAAATTTCAATCCCATCCTCAGGCACGAAATGCGGAGTCCAATGCCTATACTGGGGGCATCTTACGACAGACCCGATAAGAATTTAGATAACCTCCGATGATCAACGGTTCTAGCCTGTTAGCGCCGGGACGGGCCGGACTGTGGGTAAGTCCGCGGAGTTACCAAACTGGAAGGGGGTAATCCGGTTTCCGTACCGAGCTGTATAAGCTTTCCATAATACAAGGCGAAAACGGGTACATAACTCAATTACTATGATCCAAGTGGCGAGTGGCGGCGTCGGACAGACATGAATTATTTGGTCTCAACTTGTCGGGGCTGAGATGTCCGCTACTTCTGAGAAATGCAAACCGCTAAATTACGCCGAAAAGCGGAATCCCTACCATGTCGACATCCCATGTTCAGCCGCAGGTCGCCCCTGATCGAGCTGCAATAATCTGGGGCAATAGCGCCTGCGTGAATTTCCAAATAACCCCTCCATTGTGAGAGATCAATGCAGCGCCGGTGTACCAAGTGCTACGTTTTCCCTGCAACGCATACAGGTCACTGTAGAAACCGTCGCGGATAGCTTGAGCCGACACACTTAGCTTGAATGGCGTGTGAGAGTTGAATTTGATGATTTGGGGAGTTGTAATCGTAAAGTTCTGTGCTTTCTGCAGGTTCTGAATGGCCCGAATAGTCGCTTGCTCGACTGCCAACCGCGTCATGTGTGACGGGCTACGGTACCAGACGTAGAACACTCCCGGAATGCGGGTGCTCATAATTTGGGAAGCTCCAGGTTGCTGAGGAATGTGGTATGTTGCAGATGAGTTGTTCGCATTGATCCACTGGTACCCTTCGGGCAAACCAGTGTTATTGAGTAGTAGGGTATAGTAGCCCATATAGGTCCACTGTGAGAACATCTGAAGCTCCTCTAGATTTAAGTTGAATGGCCTCATATTTTCTAGAGTCGGGGGAATGGTGATCAAAAGCTTAGATGCTTGGACGAGCTTGAATCCCGTGGGCGTCTTGACGACGAGTGAGACGCCTCGTCCTGTTTGTTGTCTTGCAGCAGCCGTCACGGTTGAGGAGACGAGGGCGTCTGATCGCAGCTCAGCAAGAGCCTTGACGTATAGCTCAGAGTTGTTATTATCTGCGGTGCTGAGCCCAGCACCTGCTATTTCTCTCAAGTATGCAGCGTCCACCATCTTCATCACGTTGACTGTTAACTGCTGTAGTGGATTTGAAATTCCCTGGGAGCTGAGATAAAGGTTAAAAGCAGCATCCGAGATGTTATATTTGACAAGGAAGTCCCCCAATGGTAGGAGCAGGTCTGGAGGAACAGGCTGTGGGATTTTCCAGGTAGAGTCCAGCCAAGGGTACTGCGCGAGCTGAATGGCCCATCCGGTCAGGTTTCGACTGGGGTTGAATATCACAGGGTTTCCTGTATTAAAATCTGCCAACGAGATAGTGGCACTGGGCTCGGTAGACTTGACAAGGGAGATGTTGAAGTGGGCAAAATAGTCAAGCGTGATAGAGCTGTTCAGGAACGAGTGCACGCCATAATCCACAGTGAGACCAGTAGATTTATCAGTGTAAGTGTTTGTGTGGCCACCCAGGTGCTTCTTTCTTTCCACAACCACTACGCTCTGGCCCATCTTGCGCAGGTTGATGGCGGCATATGTTCCCGAGGATCCCCCTCCAACCACGGCAACATTGCAGACTATGACATCTGCTTTGGCGTAATTTTTGGGATCGAACGTATTGCCGGTGACTGCCACGGCTAGCCAAAATGTGACCACGGAAGGAAGTTTTGACAGAAACATGATTCAGGAGACAGCTTGTTGTATTCAATTGAGGTTATGTTTTAATCACTTGGTATTTGAACACTTTTGGCGCGATATGTGTTAGCATACAGCTCTTTCAATTAAAACTTATATCCGTCAGAAGGAGGTGTTAGTCGGTAGATGCAATCCAGGAAGCTTCCGACTATCCAGTGGCGACTGCCGTCGAATCTACACTAAGGTATTAGTGTCACTCACGCTTCCTGATGGGGTATATCTCACAAAGTTCGTTGTTCAACAAAGCCCAGTTCGTCTATTTTATTAGTTTCTTGCAGCTCAAGAGTTTAGTTTCTTGAAACTCCCACTTCTTCCGCACTATCCGTCACTGGCAACCATCGCAAGAAATAGCACTTCTAGCCTCCCTCACATTTCTTGTATTCAAAAATCTGACAAGGTACCGATCTGGGGATGTAGCGGAAAGTGGGGCCGTCAGATAAGCGTTCGGTTGATCGTCTGCAGGTGATAAACAGTTGTCAAGAGTGGAATAGTTTCGATGGTAATGTTCAATGTGAGGGAGTCGAGGATAGGTAGGGAAGGAGCGGAGTTCTGCTTTGGGGAAGCTACAATCGGTTTTGACAAATGTTGTCCACAAACCCCAACACCTAGGAAAGCCGCGCTGGACCCCAAACTCCCAACCTTCCAAGTAACCACCCCAATTATTCCCTGCCAGCACACAACTCTTCGTTCTACACCAGCATCAAACCTCAAAGCAAGATGAAGCTCATCCTAGCTGGCGCGACCGGTCTCCTGGGCACTGAGATCATGAAACAAAGCTTGCAAATCCGCGAGATCACTCAGGTCATCGCGTTGGCTCACCAGCCCGTCCAGCTCGACAAAAGCATCGACTCGTCGAAGCTGAAGATTATCGTCCTTCGCGACTATGGCGAATATCCTGACGACGTGAAGGCTGAGTTTGCTAACGCGGACGCGTGTATCTGGTATGTCTCAGGCAGCACCCTCATTGCCTAATTCAGACTGACCACAACACTTCGTGCGTACTACCTGTAGGGCTGTCTCCGTCACACCCTTACGTACCAGCAAAGCCGAACTCAATCGTGTATTCCATGACTGCACCAAGCTTGGGTTTGAGGCCATGTACGAGGCTGGACCGGCACGTCCCTTTCGCTTCATGTACTTGAGTGCGGATGGAATATTTCGAGACCCGACAAAAAAGGCAGTCATCATGGCAGATTACCACATGATACGAGTAATGGATTCAAATCCCAGAGCCCTGTGAAATATTCTGGATCTTACGCTAATGTCGTGCTTTTGGTGAGCTAGTGCAATGCAGAGCTCATGGTGCTCAAATTCCCTACCGAGAATGAAGGAGTTGAAGTTTGCATCGCTCGTCCCGGCGTGATTGCTAATCCCTCGACATGGTCGAGAGCTTTGGTGGCCAACCTTTTCCGTATCGTCGGTTTTTTCGGACGGTCCCTTCCGAATATACAACGCAGCGAGCTTGCAGCGGCGGTGTTGAACCAGGTCATGGATGGATTCGAGAAGGAAGCTCTCTTGAATGCCGATCTCGTTCGCATTGGACAAAGGGAGCTGAAATTTCGCAGTATGCCCTACCGATTCTGAAGATAGAAAAGGAAGCTGAGTGCCAGATTTGAAGCGTTCTCCTCTTCAAACTGAAAATTTGGGTTTTCTTTGATTTGGAATGTCACAATGTGAGAAAGGGGCGTTGGTGGCAATCCACACGATAAATCCTTTTTTATCATAGTCGACCTGTTCCAAACAAACCAATTGAGTCCAAGTTGAAAAGTCTCTAATCGAAGCGAATTATTCCGCGATCCATCACTTTTCGTACACAGACATACCTAGAACAAACACATAGACGTATTTTCCTAGGTGATAGTGGCCAATTCCTGATCCAGTGGCATTGAGGCAAATTATATATTATCTCCCAAGTTAGGTGATCTTGACAGTACTAGCCTTTGTCCTGCGAGGTTTCAAACATGGACTACGGACAATCCTTTTGATCTATTAGACCTAATATCACTCACGGCCACCTTATAACATCAACCGATGAATAAATTTGTAGTCCAGACAACTTCCCTCCCCCACGGAGCGGCGAATTTCATGTGGGCGACTCCGCAAAATGTCATGAATAGTCATAATGACGATGCAGAATCTCCCCAGCCTATAACTAAGGCCCCATCTCCATGCACCGGCAAATCTCCCAACAGACGCTCGATAATTCCTGCATTCAAAATGGTCACCCCCAACGATACCCAAGCCCTGAACCTGGAGTCACGGGAACAGGAAGATGAGACCTCGGATATGAAAGATCCTGTTGATGCCGGTTCCTCTGACATGGACGAGGAAATGAGTACGCACCTTTCTTCCTACTTGACCATCTCCAGACCTGCTAACTAGCAAAACCAATCCCAGTCCAGGACTATAGGACGCTTATGGATAAAACCAACCTCGTGGACAAAGACCGTGTTCACCGCGCAAAGGCCAGGGTATCCAAGGCCTATCATCAACCAAACGAGGAGGCAAGTGATATTTCTTGGCGGCCTGATCCGTCGGGCCATCCGCGGAGGACTTTCTAGGTGGTTGTATAGGAGTATTGTTGATTCCTTGTCAGAGAATGAACGATGTATTTTTCATTCGCTTTGTGCACGCTAGTATTGTCTCACGGAGCATAGGCAATTGAATATTCAGGAGTCTCCATAGGCCTGGACTATGTGAGATTGAAAACTGCTCTGATTGTAGAACCTTTGATCCTAGTAAGAAAGTAAGACTGCCTCTATATCATTGGTGGGAGAATGTTTTACTGGCCAAGTAGACGTTAAATCCTACTGGTCAATATATGCTGACCCCGGATTCCGAGCCAGGGTCATCATGCAGCTAAAAGTTAAGATGTGGCCTGCATAACGGGAGATCTACACGATCTAGCCACGCGGGCCTGGCCAGGATGCAAACCTTGAACGTTTAAGGCGGCAACACAGGCCTTCTACGCGACATCAATGTGTTGGAAGGAAGCGGAAGAGATAAATAAATCGTGTAAACGTGAAAAATCAAGTAAATGCTATATGTACAAGAGTCATGTCGAACGCCGTCCCAATTTGTGCAACCGGTTTCCACCCGCTCAAAGCTTTCCCTGTGCCTCTTTGGCCGCCTTGGCGTGACGCTCGAAAGAGGACACGGGGGGAGCGGAGTTGGGGTTGGGGTGGTGCTTCTTGAGCGCCATCCGGACATTGTACTCCAAGTCGAGGGAGGCCTTGGGGTCGTTGGTCTTGGGCTTGAAGTCTACGACGAGATCATCCTTGACAGCGAAGACGGAGTCGATGGCGAGATGAGGGTCGTCGCTCGGGTAGATCTGGTTGATGACGGTGGCGTAGTCGGGGTGGGTAATCATGAGGTGGATGTGGGCGGGACGCATGGGCGAACGGTCCATGAGGTTGAGGAGGACACCGGCGGGGCCGTCGGTGGGCAGGGAGTAGGGAGTGGGGTGGTAGCAGTACCAGTTGAATTCTCCCTTCTCGTTTGATCGGAACTTGCCGCGCAGGTTGTTATCGGTCTGGGTGGGGTCCTGGAAATCGTATTGGCCGTTGGCCGAGGCTTGCCAGATGTCGAGGACAGCGCCGGCAATCGGCTTGCCGGTCTCCATATCCGTAATGGCACCGTGCATGAAAGTGACACGGCCATTAGGCTTGGGATCCTGGATGATGCTGTCGCCGAGAGCGCGGAAGGGGGCGTTGGGAGACCAGAAGGGGCCGAGAATGACGTTGGATGTAGGGGGAGAGACCGTCCTCGGTGATGATCTTGTTGGCGATCTCATCGACGAGACTGATTTGAACAGTTAGCTTTCGGTTTTTTTTCGGTTTTGTTTTCTTCTTTTTTTTTATAAAAAGCAGATGTGAAACTTACGACTCAAGGCCGATCACGTCACAGATACGGTGGCCTTCGTTACGGATAGGAGTGCTGATCTGGCCGATAGAGTTGATAAACTCAACGCCGAGCATCCACTCAGCGGAGGTCAACTCAACCTCACGAGCAAAGTCATGGATGTGCTTGATAAGAGAACCCAAGACAACGCGAGCACGCTCGGGGGTATTAGGGCCCATGCCATTGATGACAGAGGGGGTGAAGTTGGGGTCGAACTGGCGTGTGGAAGACATTTTATATTATTGAAGAGAGCTGTATAAGTCAAAAGTCAAGGAAGTCAGGGCGGCCTTTGCAGGTCTATATACACGATAGACGACGGCATATTGTTCGGCTGGTCGTGGATGTGGGGAAGTCGCAACGGTGCCAAAGCCGCAAAAATCCCGTTGTCACCTGCCGAATGTCGCGATCGCGTTCATCCACGATGGTTCCATTCTGGCATCGGTCAGTCCTCAACAGCCGAGGGGCGGCTGGTCTCCTATTATATCAGCGCGGGGTGGCCGGGGTAGCTCTTATCCGCGGGTAAGCCCCGGCACCTTCACGTACCTGCTTTCACCGCCTTTTGATTGGTTCGGCTTTTGGTTTTCCTCACGTGCCGACTTGCCGATATCTGGAGTTTACGGAGTTGATATGCAATGAGAGGGCAATAATACAGATTCTATTGGTATAGATCTAATTCAGCTATTGGTCAAATCTTCATTAATACTGAATTTCTACCAAATCGCTCACCTCGTAATGTCCTACATCAAAATCCCCACAGTCTACCTGCTGATTGATCTTCCGATATAATGCCTTCAAACCCTCGCGGTCTTCGTCATCACATTGTGGCCAATCCTCCCTATCTTCCCCCCCTCCCCTTGGGTCAAGAAAATGAGAAGGTCCTGTACCGCTATCAAACTTCATATACCGGTCACACATCAATGCCGGCCTAAGGTCCAGTTCTTTCTCAAAAGGCAACTCATTGTACCCTGAATCCCATGCTTCATTGTGACCAATTGCAAAGCGACGGAGATATGGAAGACCTGTTTCAAATGAGGCAAAATATTCATTCCACCGGCGTGGATAATGATAGTGCCAGGCCTCGCCCCACCTGTGCTTGCTAGTTTGCCATTTCATTTTGGATATCGGTACTGGGCAATCGTCAATGTAGTATTCGACGTTCGATAATCTCACTTGGAATAAAATCGTACAATCGTCAAGGTAGAGTTCATGGAGTGTTGACGAGTGCGAGAGAATCCAATCAACCTGCTGGTCTTCGAAAAAGGAGAAGTTTCCCAGAGTGAGCGATTGCAAATTTGGAAAGTGAACCCCTTCGAGGCTGAATTTGGGATAAAATCCCCAGTAAAGGTCGGAGTATAGAGACAGCTTCCGGAGTGATCCCATCGTGGGTTTCAGCCAGACTGATGACAATGTATGTGCGTAGAACTCACGCACTTCCTGTTTCTGTTATATCTCGCCGAATTAGTATAAGATATTATACTCAGCATATGTTGAAGCTGTAGACTGGCTTGTGTTACTACGTACCTCGAGTTCCGCTTCAGTACACGCAGGGTCGCATTCATGCACAACATTCAGTCTCAACGAACTCAGCGTACTCAGTACTTGCTGTAAATCCTCGCTCAATGGTGTCACCTTCTGCTGATGCTGAATCCCCAGTTCTTCCAACGGTCGCTTTAAAGACACTAGCCCCGTACCCAGCCATTCTAAGATGGTTTCTCGGTAATCAAGTGACTGGGATGGATAAAACCAACTATCTCCGCCCATCGCGGCATATTTGTCGAAGCGCAGAACAACGCTTTTGAGATTCGGAATATTTGGAAGCATAAGTAGGAGCTCCTTCCATTTAACAGGTGGTTCAAGCTCATCGTTATCTGTGTCGGGGTCCTAATGTGTTGCGTATTAGATACCCATTGACTGCATGACAGTGCATATCTCACGCACGGATATAAACTCCACAGTATTGAGGCGGATCTTGTGCACGTATTCTTTCAACTGCGGATGTGTTATGATGGACTCGAAAGCCTCACAACTTATATCCTCCGTAAACAGTGAGACTGTGGAGAACAGATTCTTCGTTGCAGAGGCGCATAACATGTGGTTTGTCAGCCTCAGGGCCTTGAGCGTTTCCGTGTCCGACAGAGACGTGATGATCGCAAGTAGCTCTGAGGGAAGGGTGAATAAGGCCATATTCTTGCAGTGGAAGATATAATTATCGATCAGAAAAGGAGGTGTCAGACCTTCTTATAGAACATCTGGTCCGATATGCTAGACCGAAGGGTGGCGGTTAGCTTATGTCGACGGAAAATCCCGCAGTGTCTCAAAGTTCCCCGATCTAGCTACTGATCGGTCTTTGTCCTTTTTATTCTTTCGATTTTCTTCGTTAAACTCCGGACAACACCTAAAGATTTTCTGGGAAAAAGTTGGCGGCCAACTGGCCATAAGTTCAGCAGACCTGCGATCCCATCAATCACGTGATCTCTCTTATCTTATCTACACGGGTTAGCTCCCGAGGTCACCTGGGCAACCTTCTCCGTAACGCGATACTCATACTACTGCGAGTTCATAGGATTACTGTACTCTTCCTGACGAAGATATCAGCACAGACATGATCCGTACGTTTGGAAATGATAAGGCTAAATTCATTCAAGGATTTCCAGTTCATGTTCAAAGATCATAGGCTACCCACAAGAAACCAATGCAATAATCACCAAGCTAAAACCTCTTTCTGAGCTCCACAGGCCAAGGCCGCACAGATCTGCTCATCCTTCTCACTGACATCTGCATTGCATGGCACTTTCGGTTTCGCCGGCCAGATCTCCCGGCCCGCGGATTTCTCACGCTCAAAGTGCTCCGTGATGACATCGCGGACTGTGCTCTGGAAGAACAGCGGGGCCTTCTCGTACTTAGGGTGAAGCTCGCCGCTCGTAAAGACATTCCGGTCGAGGTTCTTCTGTGCGTTGTTGCAGAGGACTTTGTCTTCTCCCATGACGCGCGCGTACATCTCACTGATAAGCTTGAAGTCTGTCTCAGAGGAGTTCCGGTTCCGGTAGATCTCGTAGTCCATCTTGGAGTTTTTCGGGCTTGAGGGGAGGAATTTCTGTATCATGATAAAGTGCGGCCTGTGTGTACATGTTAGACGATGTACTATTTGAGAAAGCACGGACTGGAAACACTCACGAGACAACCATGGCAGACATAGGGAAGTAGTAAGTACTGGCCGTGTAAAGACCCTTCTCGATTTGCTCCGGTGTAGATTCGCAATGGTGTTGGATATGTCCATCTTTGAGATCGCTGTCGAAAGATTCCAGGTTAAGGAACTCAGGAATATCGGCGTGTGTTGTAGGGCAGTGGTAGCATTCGTTGAAGTTATCCGCCAGAATCTTCCAGTTATAGTCGCCCTCGAGCGCATAAGTGTGGTCAAGATCGTAGTCGTCGAAGTTGTAGGCTTTGTACCGTTCTTGCTTGTCGACGTCTCGGAAATGGTCTTCCCATGACACTTCTGGGACTTCATTCGCATCCATGTTGACCCAGATGAAGCCATTGACGTCGACCTTGAGATGGATTCTGAAGAGGCCGTTCTGCTCCTTGTCGAAGTTGCTCAGCTCTTGGTATTTCGTGGCTTTGGCGAGTTTACCATTCAGTCCGTAGGACCAGCCGTGGTATCGGCAAGCGAGGATTTGCGAATTCCCGGATCCTTCTTTCTCAACGACCGGGTACGCACGGTGTCTGCACACGTTGTGGAATGCGTTGATGTCGCCCTGACGGTCGCGAGTGATGATAAAGTCAAAACCTGCAAGCTCGTAGCGGAGCCAGTCTCCGGTGTTCTTCAACCGCATGCTGTGGGTGATGAAGAGCCATCTCTTCGAGAATATGGCTCGGCGCTCTAGTTCGTACATCTCTGGTGAAGTGTACCATGATGCAGGTAAGGCGCGAACGGCTGAAGCTTTTGTCTCTTCCTTAGAGGCAGGAGCATTGAAGCCGAAGTAGTTGAGCATTGAAGCCATGATTAAGTAATAAGAAGGTACAATGGAGAGTGTCTTCCAGTCTTTGTTGCTTTAATGGTAATCATATCGATCCCTTTATATGCTCCGGAACAATTTGATATTGGACTGATAGCCACGTCTATACAGCGATCATATGAACGATCTGGTTCCAATTTGGTAGGACAACCCATCGCGAGGCGGGTTGATCTTCCAAGAACAGACATCGAACCCGCCAACCCGCCAACCCGCCAACCCGCCAACATAGTACTACAATCCGTACTACAAGCCGGGGGACTTGACACTATTGTTGATTATTGGGTCAAATGATATGAAACCCGACATGTGCTTGGGCAGGCATTATCTAGTTCCACGCTACAGTGGCTTTGTTTGCAACATGTCCTTCCGAGTCCATAGATAATGTGGCTGGAAATACTTCGCATCACCTAAAGATAGCTTGCCAAATCGATTATTGTTATTGTAAACGAGAGAAGCTTAATAAATAACATATACACATATACCAAGTCAACAAGCACAATAGAAGTTTCCCTCGTGTTACAACGTGCATATACCGGATTACCCCGCTAACCTACTAGTTGAAGGGGAGTATCGGAGCCTTGCAATTATCTTTCCTATACATGTAAAAAGGCCCTTCAAACTAGATTCAATATCCTTCCTTTATACCCCAGCAGAGGCACTGAAGTGGCTTCATCTATGGTGCTCCCACTTTACATTCCACCTTGCATCCACACACCCGCCGGCCAATATCACCTCCCACCGTCCGATCAACCCCTCAGAATCCAAATCGAAGGACCCCTAATCGCCATAGAAAGGCTCCTGCCAGATATCCCATGGCGTCTTGATTCTCGAGATCGAGTATTCCCACAGCCAGCAGGCCCAGAGCTAGCACGGTTAACGTATCAAACCATATACGGACGGGATATTCATCCAGAAGTCCTTGGTGATCTAGTTGTGCAGGATGAGTACCTGGGTTGGATGCCAGAGGAACGCCCAGAAGAGTAAGTATCTATCAATCTCCGAGGTCCTAGTGGAAGCAACCAGCTCTGATATTCCCTCCTGCTGATCCGACTAGGCTGATTGACTATTATGGTGTAACATTTGACCATCTCGTCCCGGCTAGTGCTATCAACCCTGAGGTGTTACAGATTAACATTATTGAGATTGAGGATGATGGTGGTGTTTATGCAAATACATGGCTTTTGTTTGCGGTAGATCCGACTGAGTTTATTGGGAAGAAGGTACTAGCAGTGCCGAGATGTTGCCAGAAGAGAAAGGGGACTCAGGATCGCTGGCGGGTGAATGCAATGGTGGACCAGAGGGTTCATGGGCGGGAACTATTGATGGGAGCTAAAGAATGGGAGGATTTAGTTAAAGGTCTGGAGAAGGATCAAAAATCGGACGGAAGTTGAGAACTTGAATTGATATACATGCGCTGAGTTCTCTTCTAATATGATTAATACGCTGATGCCAAACACTGGACATGTTTTGTCTTCATCGAACAATAGCCCTTATCGTTGTTTTTCTCTTTTTTCAACAGGAATTTGGTCGTATTCGTACAACATCGTCATTGGAGAAGAGTAAATTGCTTTCCGAGAGCCAGCAGACGCAATGTACTAGAAGATTCCTTTGAATAATGCCATGCTGAATCCTCATTCCAGCATCAAGAGTCTTACTTCTTTGCATCATGCAATTCCCCTCGCTCTTTCACTAAATTCGAAATCGCAATGCTGGCATCATCCCCCAACTTCGCGAATCCCTGAATCACACCCTCACGGTCCCCAGGCCGCATTTCCTGGCTCATCTTGAACTTCCCCTGAAGCTTGGTGATCCGAATCTCAATCCCGACAATGTTCTTCTTCAGGAGATCAGTGTATGACTTAGGCGCATCGGACACCTCCCACGGCTCCGGTTTATCGCCACCAGTATACCCCATCGACTTCTCTGAATGCTGCGACAGATCATGCAGCTGCTTGGCGAGGAATGCGCCGGTCTCGGGTGTTTTGGAATCATAGTATAGCGACATCTTGCCGTACGCCTGGACGGCGGAGTAATTCCATGTAGGCACAACCCTCCCGGTATCTGGCTTTGTCTCGACGTAGAATTTCGGAGTCACGTAATGTTCGTATTTGCCATTGAAAAGCACTAGGACGTCATCGTCGAGTTCGAGAACGTTCGGTGGCTTGTCATCCACAGCCTCCATCATTGACTTGACTTGTGGATTCTGCTTGGCGATGTGGGCGCGGAGATAGGCATCTGTCTTGCCTGTTTCCTCGGGGAAATCCACCACGAATGGGGCATGGGTGCACTGTAGGAAGTCTTGCTGGGAGGAGTTCATGCCGGTGATCAACACCCCGAGTGGGTGTTGCCGGATGAAATGGAGCAAGGCCTCTTTGTCCTTCTCCTCGTGGGCACTTTGGAAGAACATGTTGAATAGTAGCTGGGAGGTTCAGAGGAGGATGGAGTTGGAAGACGAAGAGGCGTGAAGGCAATTGTGTAGGGACGAAAGACCCCCCAAAATCTCACATTATCGGATCGTTGATTTGTTATCAATGGCCAAGGATTCGTCCACTAAAGGCATGTGTAACCGGCTGCAGAGACCCAGCGGGGCGGGAAGGCGCAGGGACTTTGGCATTTCCCCACCGGATTATCGAATTCCCGAGACAAGGCGAGGAGATCACATAAAAGTTGGATTACATCATTGGCAAAGGTCAGACTTGATATTTATATTGCACTCCAAAGAAAAGCAGTGTTGTCCTGGGGGATATACACCAGATTGGGTATAGCGCAATCTAGCAGAAATATGAAGGGCTGCCATTGGTCATATCCAGTTGGATCCACTTTTATCTGCAACACAAATCCACACACAACTTGATATACGGCTTGAGACACTACCAGCAGATGTCAGTATAAACTGGGCGCGAGTTTGTAATAAAACCATTCATTCGATATATAAGATAGGGGGATAGAAAGAGGGTATAGGTTGAACGCAATAAACCGTGAAAAAACCACCATAGAAGCCACACAAGGGGAACTAGAACCAAGACTCCATCGCTCCAAAACAAAAGCCACCTGCGTAAACCCTCAAGATACGCCGATTTTTGAGTGCCAGCAGGTCGCAAGACCCCGCATATAACAATCGAATCCCAATGACTATCTGTCAATGAGATGAGAGTAGAATATCAATCAAACAGAAAAACATGAGGATAGTCTGGCATGCGGGTCATCGTTCAGAAAGCCAACGCAGCTCGAGTGGCACATCCTCCATATCATCGTAATGTGTTGACATCGTCTTCGTCATTCCTGATGGAACATTACATTGCAAGACTGGCTGAGCCTGCAGCCGCAGATCCCCAGCGCAGTTTTCGCAGCCCGCCGCGGACCGCTTCCTGGCCACACCCCACTGAGGGGCGAGGGGTAGAAACACCATCTCCCACCATTCCGAGCTCGGCTCGCCCGACCTCACGGCCAATCATATACCCCGCGGAAAAACTGATTGCGGAGAATAGAACGACAACACCCGCGCTGATGACCCATGTCATGACCGTGGGGCTCATGGCCGTTGTTGGATCCGTCATACTCACGCGACGACTCTTTTTCGAGGCAACACCGCGGTCTTTGGGGGAACTTGAACGACGCTTTGCTTTGGAGGCAGAGTCAGCTGATACCGCCGGTGCTCTTACGCGTCTCTGTGGTACTCCTATAGACGGGCTTGATTCTGGATAGCGTGGCGAGGATGGGCTCTCTTCATCGCTGCTATCTTCTCCCATGGCAACTGATGGGCCGACTAGTCGGAATGAAGCAGGTTGTCCGCTTCCAGGGGGAGCCGCTGGGGTATCTGATGGTCGACTATCATTCTTCGGAAGGCCTCTGGCGGCAGCCGCACATGAAAGAAGTGTAGATAGGCTGGCACGAAGGGCGGCATCGTGGTCGGCATGATGGGAAGGGGAGATCATGTTGTAAGGGCTGTGCTGATATGGAGATCTCCGCGATGACCGTGGGTTGGGGTAGGATTCTCTTCGAGGAACAGTACGGCGAGTAGAGGCAGACGGGACACTAGATTGTGGACGCCGTGCAGACCATCCAGGCTCCGACGTCGCTGGCGGGTGTGTGAATATGTTTGGTTGAGGTACGAAAGGTGATGTGTTGATTCCCATCCCTAGGGCAGTAGAACTATCATCTTCATCATCGCTGGAGGCAGCGTCTGAACCTGAGAAAAGGGGTACAGAGCGCGCAGATAATGCAGTTCGCAGCCTTGGGCGGGTCATATCTTCATTTGAGCTGCTGAGAACATGATCAGACTCGCTTTCGCTCTCCTCATATTCCTCTTGACTGCTACTGGTTTGGCTGGCATCCTGCGACGCATAGGCCACCTGGGCGGTGGTAATAGCGGCAAGATGTTGCAGATGGCGTCGGCGACTGCGGCGCTGATATGCGCCCGCGCCTCTTTGCTCGACCCGTAATCCGGTGGTAATTATATCTTCATTTGTGGCAGCAGAGGAAATTGAGGAAGAGGAGGGTTGGGAGGACACGTCGATCCAGGAATCTATGTAGTATCGCAGTGAGTACATTATGGAGATCTGGGAGCGATTTTGTATGCATATTAAATTTCACCGGAAAGGGGGTACCGGTCGCATTATAACTACATACCCTCTGATCTCATGGGCGCCGCACCCGATGGCTGAGGCTGACCGGTATCTCGAAGCGGCTGATGGCCATCGCGCGTCATCCGACTTGCGGCTCTAGACTCACGCGCCTGACCTAGTAGGTCGCAGTGATTTGGTTGCATATTGAGGGTTGGAGGAATATGGGAGGATATGGGCGGAGACGAACAGAAATATAGAAAAGAGGGGGTCAGGCCACCCTGGAATGGAGCACAAGAGAGCGGTCAACGTGGGGCGGGAGAGATTATCTTATCAAATGTGGAGTCGATCGATCGATGCCCGACACAATGTATACTCCTTTCTGCTAACAAAAAGCAGGAGATGAAAGGGGTTAAAAGTAACCAAGATGATTATGTTTCTCTGTAGGAGAGAATGAAAAGAGACAAAAGGAAGATGAAGAAACCCAGGCGGAAAGAATCGAACTGATGAGGTGATCAGCGGACCGAACAGGTGATTTGCAGCTCGTGACAAGGGGCGAAAGACGATGCGAGGGGTTGTCAGAGGTAAAGGGCGGGTGTTGCGGTTCTTATTGTAGATTTTGAGATCAGACCTTCTTTCATCAATAATCCGATCAAAGAAGCTTGGAGCCTTGGAATGAGTTGTAGGCAACACAAAGAATAGTCTGGGCAAGGCGGTTTCTAGTGGCAATATACTTAGTCGATACGAAGAATGAAAAGGAGCAAAGTTGATCAAAATGAAAATGAAATGATGTATCAAATTTAAGATACCTGAGCTAAGGTCATATTACACATAATTAAGCACGAACTTTTTTCTCTCAAAGAAGACCTGAGACCCATGGGACACCGATATGATGCGGAAATCAAACGTTTAAAGGAAAGCACCTCAAGTTCAGAAAGTGACCTTGGTACCCTTGAACTCAGGGATGCTGCCCTTGCCCTTGTTAAGGCCACCACGGCCGCCACGGTCGCCGAAGCCACCACGGCCACCGCCGCGACCACCACCACCACGTCCACCGAAACCACCGCCGCCGCCGCGGCCACCGAAGCCACCACGGCCACCACCACGACCACCACCACCACGGCCGCCGAAGCCACCACGGTCACCACCGGCAGGACGGGGAGTAGAGAAGTCAAGACGGATAGCACGGCCCTCGAGCTCGTGGCCGTTGAGAGCAGCGTGGGCAGCCTTGGCCTCATCAATGGAAGCGAACTGAACGTAACCGAAGCCCTTGGGGCGTCCAGTCTCCTGCTCAGTGGGGAGACGGATTCCGAGAACGGAGCCCTGGGCGCCGAAGACCTCGTGGAGAGCATCCTCAGTAGCGCTGAAAGGAAGGTTGCCAACGAAAAGAGTGTCGCTCTCGGGGCTGGTGGTGTCACCGTATGAGCGAGCACGATCCTGGGAACGGTCGGCACCCTGCTGGGGGTTGGCCTGGCGGGGAGCGGCGTAGTCGAGGTTGATGGTACGACCATCAAGATCGGTACCCTTCTTGGCCTCCATGGCCTTAGCAGCATCGGCGGCGCTGGTGTACTCAACGTAGCCGAAGCCACGGGAGCGGCCGGTCTCACGGTCGGTGACAATGCGGACACCGGAGAGCTCACCGAACTCGGAGAACTCACGCTGGAGCCACTCCTCGTCGACGTTCCAGGACAGGTTACCAATGAACAGGTTGGCGACGGCACCCTCGGGGACATCCTCGGTCTTGGACTTCTTGGCAGTGGCGGCAGGCTCGGCATCAGCCTTGCGCTTCTTGGAGACAGGGGTCTCCTCGGAGTCAGAATCAGAGCTGTCAGAGTCGGAACCAGACTCGGAGTCAGAAGAGGCCTTCTTGGCCTCGGCCTCAGACTCAGACTCGGATTCAGAGTCGGAAGAGTCAGAAGACTCAGCCTTCTTCTCAGTCTTCTTGGGGGCGGGCTTCTCATCCTCGGACTCGGAAGAGTCAGAGTCAGAGTCGGAGGAGTCAGAAGACTCAGCCTTAGCAGCAACAACCTTCTTCTCGACCTTCTTGGGGGCAGGCTTCTCCTCCTCGGACTCGGAAGAGTCAGAGTCGGAAGAGTCAGAAGACTCAGCCTTAGCAGCGACCTTCTTCTCCACCTTCTTCTCCACCTTCTTCTCAGTCTTCTTGGGGGCGGGCTTCTCCTCCTCAGACTCGGACTCGGACTCGGAGCTGGAGCTGGAGGAAGCATCCTTCATATCCTCATCAGACTCGGACTCAGACTCGGAGGAGCTGGGAGTAGGCTCCTTCTTCTTGTTGGTCTTCTTGGACTTCTCCTTGGAGATGACCTTGCTGGCAACAGCCTTGCTCTTGGCGGCGGGGGACTGGGAAGCCTTGGTGACACCGGCATCCTTGACCTTGTTCAAGGCCTTGCTGGCCTTACCGGCCTTATCGGCACCCTTGGTAGATGTCTTGGACATATTGAACTAGAGGAAAAATGAATGTTAGCCAATGCTCTTCGATCAAATGGAGGGGACTCAGGAAGAGGGCTTGGAGGCTGGCTTGTAGCTTGGGTAGGGTGGCACATACTTTAGTGACAAGTGAAATTCTTGTAGTATGTGCGGCAAAGCCCACGATCCCTCAAAGCACCCGTGTTTTGGATGTGTAAAATGGAACAACAGCCCTCAGAAGAACTGCCAGAAGTGAACTAAATCACAGCTGGACGTTAACCCACTACCCACGGACGGACAAGTTTTCAAGCCCACAAGCAACCGACAGCTGATACTGTCTAGAATATGTAACCCACGAGGAAGATGTCCCACAGAGCCCACAGAATAGATGTATGTCAAGCCCACAGCCCTCAGAGTGATAAGAAGCCCTCAGAGTATCCGAACGAACTTACGAGATAGAACCCACGCGACTGCGTTAGTTAGTGTGTAGAGGTCTCTTGGGTAGTCAAGAGATGAGATAAGTAAAGCGACCTGATACGGACTGCTTTTTGAACGGGGGATGAGAAAAAGAAGTAGGGAGGATGGAAAGAGGAAGAGAAAAAAGTGTGAAGAGCTGGGGACCATCAGCTCTGATAAGGAAAAATTTTTGAAAAAAAAATTCGGAGGCTGGCAGAACCACTCCGCCTGCCTAAAGAGGTTAGTGCAGGCACTCGGTCCCAACACTATGTGGGTACCTTGCCAGTGGCTGTCGACGACTCACAATCGCGTGTTCACTTGGCGGTGCCTTTTGCTTTTGTCTACGTTGTACCTGCTACGTCAATTCTTCTGCTATCACTATACTCGTCCAGGCACCGTTCGACTTTTTTTTAACTCGATAGTCAATGGGACGATAAGTTTCCATTGGCCTTTAACGTGATGGCCCCTCCGACACCCTCCTCGCACCGCCCTCGCAAGAAGAGAAAGGTTGCGATCTCCCCCGGCTCCAACAATAACCTGATATTAGATCTAGGCGATGGGAAGCAATCTCCAGCGTTTCCACTAGTCTCATTTTTGTGGGCTGCTCGGGCCGGTGTGTCTCAATGGCTGATTCTCCCACTTGTCCTCATGGCCGTTGGCCTGTTCCGATGGGCTGTGAGCTTATGGGGTTACTCTGGTATGCGACATTGTCTCTTCGGAGGTCGGTACATATTTTAATATCTTCTAGGGTTCCAAGTTCCCCCGATGCACGGTGATTTTGAGGCGCAACGGCACTGGATGGAAATTACCACACATCTGCCTTTGGCAAAGTGGTACACATACGATCTGCAATACTGGGGTCTCGATTATCCACCATTGACCGCATATCACAGCTGGCTACTCGGGAAGATGTACATTTCCCTACCTGCCATGTATTGTGGAATTCCCAGGCCTCCTGCTGACCCGTCGACCTCTCTAGTGGCTCTGCCTTCGAACCAGCCTGGTTCGCCCTGGACGCCTCACGAGGTTTCGAGGACCCCCGTTTGAAAGTTTACATGCGCGCCACCGTCGTGGTGTCTGAGTACTTGGTGTTCATCCCGGCCGTGGTCAACTTCCTCCGCCGCTACACTCGGATGCAGGGTGTTCATGCTTGGTCCGCCTCAATTGCTCTCGTAGCAGTCCTCCTTCAGCCAGCGAACATCCTCATCGACCATGGCCATTTCCAATATAACACAGTCATGCTGGGATTGGTGGTTGCGAGCTTAGACGCTATCTTGGCGGGGCGTATGCTCTGGGCTTGCATTTTCTTCGTTGGTGCACTAGGATTCAAACAGATGGCCTTATACTACGCACCAGTCATGTTTGCCTATCTTCTTGGTGTCTGCACCTTCCCTCGGATTAATATCCCCCGTCTCGTGAGCATAGCCCTCATAACATTGGCTAGTTTTGCTTTGCTGTTAGCGCCTCTTCTGGTTGGTGCCTCCAATTCCGAAGCTCGAAAGGCATTTGCATCTTCTCCGGTGCCGCCTATGTTGCAGGCGCTTCCTATCCACATGGACAAGAACTCTGTTACATATGGGCTATTGTTCCAACTAACGCAGATCATTCATCGGGTGTTCCCCTTTGCGCGTGGGCTCTTCGAAGACAAAGTTGCCAACGCTTGGTGCGCCATTCACACTTTTTACAAGCTCACCCGCTTCGACGCTACATTGTTGCAGCGAGCATCGCTCGGTGCCACATTGGCGTCAATCATCGTTCCATGTGCTATCATCTTCCGCCACCCTCGGGCCTCGCTTCTCCTTCCCGCCCTATCTGCCGTCTCCTGGGGATTTTTCTTGTTCTCTTTCCAGGTCCATGAGAAGAGTGTGTTGCTGCCTCTGTTACCGATGACCCTGCTGCTTGCTGGTAACGGTGGACTGAGCAAAGAAACACGCGCCTGGGTCGGCTGGGCCAACGTGCTTGGCTCATGGACCATGTACCCCCTCCTCAAGCGGGATGAGCTCCGCGTTCCTTACATAGTCATGACTTTGCTCTGGGCCTATCTTCTCGGCTTGCCTCCTACTTCTTTCGAGACCTACCGAAGTCGGCCATCCCCCGAAGACTCCAATGCCCAATTCGAGCCTAGCACTCTCACAACTCTTCTACACTTCTCTTTCTATTTGGCCATGATTGCCTGGCATATCCTGGAGGCATTTGTGGCCCCGCCGCCTGGAAAGCCAGATCTTTGGGTTGTCTTGAATGCCTTGATCGGAGCTGGTGGGTTCGGAATTGCCTATTTGTGGTGTATGTGGAAACTATTTACCCAATGTCGCGAGATTAGTCGGCAGGCGACCGAGGAGGAAAGCCAGAAAAAGAAGCAGTGATTGTTCGCCTAGGTGGAGGCTGTATGATTTTCAGTGATACCCTATATTGTGAGATTATCCAAAATGAAGCAGTAAAGCTGCAAATTGTTTCATTAATATGATTAAGTTCGATTTTCATTCTTTAAGAGGTGAGACGTTGTATTGGGAAACTAGTGCCAAACTTTATATTCCAACATGTCACAAATAACCAAACATGTCCTCAAACAGACGACATCCGGAGAAAACAAAAACTCCCGCCAATGAATGCTATAGTACAATGTTGTATAGTGATAGTACAGCCGAGGGCATTCGGTCAGAGATCAAGTCTAGACCTTGAAGCCAAATCCAGCCATGCAAGTCTTGTACTCCTCGATCGTGGACTTGCACTCCTGCTCGGGGTTTTCGGACTTGGAGAAGAGCATACAGTCATCGCGAGCGGTCTTCTCGGGTTTGCAGACGCAGCAGGGCTAGAATGAAGGCAGGATCAGTCGCTTGCGCTTGCTGGGTCGGCAGTATCGGGTCATACCTTGGGCTTTTCGGACTGGGCGGGCTGAGCGGGTGCTTGCTCAGGGGCAGCGGCACTTTTCTCTATAAAGCATTGTGTAAGCGAGGGTCAAGGTCTTTCTCCGACACTGATATGTAGGACTGGCGCATTGCGCATGTATTCGGCCCGACTAGGTGGAAAGAAACATTGATTTACCTTTTGAGGAACCGAATAGCCAGGACATTGTGATGGATATGCAAATATGCTTGGTAAATATTTCCAGTAAGCGAAAGACGGAAAGGGAGTGTCAAGTATGAAGTTGTGAACAAGTCGTTACACGACTCCAGGGCTGACACCATCGGACATTATTAATGGCAAGTGCTGCGCAACTGGTCGCTATGCCCCGCCGAATTTATTCTTTTTTTTTGTTGTCAACAAAGTCGCCTCTCCGGGGTCGCCTCCTACACTGCAGACTGTTTCGGTTCTTTTCTGTCTATCATTAGGTCTTGGGTCTCCTCGTTTCTAGGATATTGTCTGCCATTGACCTCGCGCTTACCCTATTCTATTTCTATTTCTTATCTCATTCTCCCACTTCAACAACTACCCCGCCATGGCCCCTCACAAGGTCTTCTCCCTCGAGGGCAAAGTCCTCAAGCTCGATAGTGCAGAGGACATGAATGCACACATTCAGCCCTTGATTGACAATACCGACTACACTGAAATCCGTCTCGGTGGAAACACTCTTGGCATTGACGCCTCCAAGCGCCTGGCAGAGGTTCTGCAGAACCAAAAGTGCCTCGAAGCTGCCTACTTTGACGACATCTTCACCGGTCGTCTCCTGACGGAAATCCCCACTGCTTTGAACTCGCTCCTGAACGCCATCCTCAAGATCTCGACCGTCCACACCGTAAACCTTAACGACAATGCTTTCGGTCTGAGAACCCAGGCCCCGCTTATCGAATTCCTCTCGCGCCACGTACCCCTCCGCCACCTTATTCTGAACAACAACGGACTCGGCCCTGCCGCCGGATCTCAGGTCGCCGATGCGCTGTCAAAGCTAGCTGAGCGTAAGGAGGAAGCTCGCAACTGTGGCGAGGAGGTCGCGCTGCTAGAGAGTGTTGTCTGCGGACGAAACCGCTTGGAGAACGGCAGTATGGAGGCATGGGCTCGTGCCTACAAGGCCCACGCGGCCGGCCTGAAATCGGTTAAGATGACACAGAACGGCATCCGATCGGAGGGTATCTCCCACTTGTTGTCCGAGGGTCTCTACCACGCGCATTCCCTGGAGGTTCTGGATCTGCAGGACAACACTTTCACCCATGTGGGTTCCACCGCTCTGTCAAACGCCTTGTCCGGCTGGCCGTCTCTTCGTGAGCTTGGTGTCGGCGACTGCTTGCTTTCTGCCCGTGGTGGTGTGAAGGTGGCCCAGGCTTTGGCGCAGAACAGGAACCCGAAGCTCCAGACTCTGCGTCTGCAGTACAACGAGATGAAGGCGGAGGCTGTCAAGAGCTTCACCCATGCAGCCAAGACTGCGCTTCCCAGTCTCCGTCGTGTCGAGCTCAACGGAAACATCTTCTCCGAGGAGGATCCTCACATCGTCGACCTGCGTGAGCTTTTGGAGGCTCGACAGGGAGAGCACGGTACCGACGATGACCCCGAGGATACGTGGGGTGTTGATGATTTGGATGAACTCGAGGAGGAGGATTCGGAAGAAGAGGAAGAAGAGGAGGAAGAGGAGGACGAGGAAGAGGCCAAGGCTGACAAGGACCTAGAGGATGCCGACCTTGCCGAGGAAGAGAAGGTCGCTGAGAGAGAGGATAAGGACGTCGATGACCTGGCCGATGTTCTGGGCAAGACAGGTATCTAACCTCTGGAGCTGTTGGATAATTGTCGCTTCTATCAGTACCTGCCTTCCATCACGGACGGATCATGGATCCAATACCACGTTGATATCATCAATGGCTGAGAAACCCGCGCCCTCAGCTTAATTGGTGTCCTCCTGGCCATCCATGGTCCCTTTCTGTGTCCACGGCCACACAAGCTTCGGGTATGAGGATCTCACCGACGACGCTTACGCTTTGCCTTCAAAAGACCCCGATTTTTATACCCCCAATCTCCAAAATGGAACCCTAGCTTGCACATAATTCCCTTTGCTTTGATCCTTATTCTGTTTGCATAGCCATGGACCCCCGTGTTTGCTTCGGAGGATACACAACCATATAGATGGAATACATATCCGGACAAGCATGAACATTCAAATACTCACAAGTTCAGAAAACAAGTAGTGTGTATACAAAGTTGCATATAAATGGAACGAAAATAATTTCCGAAAATGGAACCCAAGGCTTGGCGCAGACCTCGGACATCACAGCTCATCAAATTCCTTTTACCTCGTCGCCTTTGACATATTCCCTCTACCTCACCTGTCACTATTGGCGCTTCCATTGCCGTCGCCTTTCCGCTCTTTCATTTCTTTACAGGTTTCATCTCGCAACACTATACCGTGGACGCGACCGTGAAATATCCCCAGGTGAGTTCCGCTAAACACCCCTCACTACATCTTGCTTTGCGCAACTACCCATTGCTTTTCATGGTGCAAGCTATGACAGCCACATGTGCTGCTGCATGCCGTTGTTTCCAATCTTCTTTGTTTGTTTTCATCGAGTTTCCGAGGGCAAATGAGAGAAAAAGCGGACACGTGCAGTTGACAGTACCACCTTCTCCCGCATTGTCTCTATGGTGGGGTATCTAAGAGCCATGTTTTGTGTTACCTTTGTTGAAAGCACGTGTGCTCTATGATCTGTGATCCCAACCGGGAGACAAACGTGCCTGCTGTGGTTCTGGAGAATGCGCCGACATCCGGGGCTTCTAAAGACCCTGTGCTCTGTGTTTTTGCGATGACATGCTGACAGTTAGGACTCATAGATCGCCTGGAACATCCTCACCCGGTCCTCCATTGACCCCGTCAAGCACTCTGATCGCGTCATCCCTCTACCCCGCACAACATGGCGATGGACGCTAAAGAGATCGAAGCTAAGGCCAAGGCCTTGGGCAAGGCCGCGACTTCGAACGAGTCGCCAGCTGTGATTATCGGCCTCCTGAAGGACATCCAAAGCGGCGTCCGGGCAACCGAAGACCTCCTCCGACAGACGCGCATCGGAATCATCGTCAACAAGTTCAAGCAGAGCAAGACCCCAGAAGTCGCGCGGCTCTCCAGCGAGATTGTTTCCAAGTGGCGGACGGAGGTGAACAAGCAGAAGCAGGCTGGTTCGGCAGCCGGTCGTGGTTCGAGCGGCTCTCCGCGGCCAGCGCACAACGGTACAGGGGTGTCCACTCCAGCCACTGCGACACCCTCAGACAAGGCGTCGAAGCTGTCTGTGCCTCCGGATAAGCGAACATGGAAGGCAGACGGGGCGGATATCAATCATACCGGGAACCGAGTGCGTGACAGCTGCACGGGGCTGATGTACGATGGACTGTGTGTGGGGTCGACCGAGTCTCCCAAGGTCGTTCTAGCACGCGCTATTGCGGTGGAGATTTCTGCCTACAAGTACCTGGGACCGGAGACGAAGGAGGAATACCGTACGAAGATCCGTAGTCTTTTCCAGAATCTGAAGAACAAGTCCAACCCGAAGCTGCGTGTGCGCGTTGTCGAGGGAGAGATTACTGCTGAGCAATTTGTGCGCATGAGCCACGATGAGCTGCGCTCTGTTGAGCAGCGTGAGGCGGACGCTAAGATTCAGAAGGAGAATATGGACAAGGCTATGGTTGCCCAGCAGGAACGCAGTATCAGTAAGAGCTTGCAGTGCGGCAAGTGTGGCCAGCGCAAGGTCACCTACACCGAAGCTCAGACTCGTGCGGCTGATGAACCGATGACCCTGTTCTGTACGTGTCTGCACTGCGGCAAGTCCTGGCGGCAGTGAGCTCGGGGGGGAGCGGAAATGTATTATTTTGGGGGACTCGGTGTTTCTTTCTTTCTATTTCCCTTTTCTCTTTCTCGGTTTTTTCTATCAAGCGAAGGTTATGAGGCCGAAGCTGGAGTTCTACTGTGGGCCTTTGATTTATGTCTTCCTCTACATCTCGAAGCTCGTCTGGGCAAATGGATGGGAAACAGTCGTGAACTATCTACCAAAATGCAGATATCCGAATGATTGATCTCAACTCTTTCAAGTACTCCGTATAGGTGGTCGTTCTACTATATAAACACAGCAACGTCATATGATGTCAGTATGCACTCCACCGCCTAAAGGATATCAAACCCGCCCATAGCTCTGATGACTCTCACAATACCACATCTACACTCCAAAGCCAACATGACCACGCGCTCAGACCTCCTAAAACCAGTCCAGGCCCTCATAGAAGCCCTAACGAACCCAAACCCAACAAACCCCCACCAACTCCTCTCAACCTTCACCACCCTCCCAAAACCTCTAGCCTACGAACACGGTCTCCCACAACTAGCCCCCTTCCTAGGCCGGCCCTTCAACGGCCAAGATGGGGTCGCAACGTACTTCGAGCTCATCTCCTCGCTGCTGGGAATCAAGAATATGGCCTTCGAGCCCGAGGAGAGCTGGGTAGTTGACACGAGCTGCATGGCAGTTTCGCTGCGCGGAACGGCGACGTTCGTCTGGAAGGAGACGCGGCAGGCTTGGGATGAGACGTTCGTGTACCGCATTAAGCTTGCTGTTGATGGGTCGAGGGAGGGGGGGAGGTTGGCGGTTTGTGAGTACCACGTTTGGGCGGATACGGGCGCTGCGTATCTTGCTAGGTGTGAAAGGTTGGGGGATTTAGTGGGTTCTGCGAGTGATGGTGAGGGGATTCATCTAGATTACGATATGAACGGGGAGGACATAGAATAGGGAGAGATATATATCAGCCAACAGCAAAGATATAGCACTGGTGATTGTGCCAATCATAAGGAGAGAGTGTCATTATTTGAGAGATTTTTCTAGGTAGGTCCGGGTGGTATACATGTATTCTACACTCTTTGCCGTTCTCCTCGGATTATTCTATAGGACTGGGGCAGTCTATCCCTCGAAGACGCTGTGGTTCAGCTCAACACCCATATCCTTGGCCATATTCTGCATCTGGGCCTCTATGTCATCCTCCATACCACCACCCAGATGCAAGAACTGGCGCACTTTGGTGAAATAGAAGAAGATATCAGTGCTAAACAGCACCATGCGGAAGATAAAATGGCGCCCGATGTTGCGGATCTTCTCGGCCAGCGGCAGATCCGGCGACTCGATAAGCGCACGCGAAGCCCAGATACCAGTGATCTTAACACGGTTCACCGGCGAGCCCAGGAACTGGTTATTACCTTGGACGATGCGCAGATTGCGACCGATGAAGATCAGCTCCTGTGGCCACTTGGTTTCATCGCCTAGCATATCACGGACCGCCTTGCGCATCCCCTGTTGCATCTCGTAGTGCCGCTCTGCACGCTCCGACTTGCTCAGTCCCTGGAGACCGCGCTGCGTGGACTTGTCTCCGCCGCTGTAGGGACGCATCAACGTTGCTGATGCGAAGATGTCAGCGTTGTTCACGCCCCAGTCCCTGGCAATCTCGCCCAGCGTGCGATTGTCGAAGGTAAGGAGAGCTTTCCAGAACCGCGCGTATTGGTGTCGGAACTTGGGATCCATGTGGATGTACAGGCCGTGGTCGATCAGAACCAGCTCTGCCTTTCCGGACGGCTTGCGGCGGATGAAGATGTTGCCTGGGTGCGGGTCGCAATGGACGTATCCCCACATGAACATCTGGGCAGAGAACAGATCTACCATGGTCGTCATCACGTCCTTGACTGACAGTCCTAGTCCGCCGTTGTGGTTAGGGCCTCGCCAGTAGTCACGCTTTGGCTTGGTACTCGGTCGATTCGCAGAACCCTCCTGCGGTCGGTCAAGCGGTGTACCGTGACAGCCTGGACTTCCCTGGTGCCAGCCGCCGCGCCAGGGCCGCGTGATGGAGTCTTTATCCCAGAGTCGTACGCCTTCCACCCATTCAGCAGTCATGACGCGCCTTGAGCTCAGTTCGCGGAATACTCGAGGGATATACACGCGGTCGCGCAGACGGGGTTCAGCGGCCACTAGCCTGGCCATGTTTTCCGAGTTATCTGCTTCATTTACGAAGTCTGTTTCGAGCGATAGTCTCTCACTGATATAGGGAACAAGACTGTAGAAAGGGATGTCGAACATTTTGCTGTAGACAAAGGTCACAACTCTTTTTCAATGTTAGCACAACATTCTCTCGCAGCTGCAATTCGGACAAACTTACTTGAAGGCCCAGAGATCCCATGCCAATTGCTGTACGATCTCCCGCTTTTGGACCTTGATCGCAACCTCCGTGCCATCCTGCAGACGAGCCCAGTGGACTTGAGCAACACTGGCACTGGCTCTGGCTCTGCGCTCCATCACGCCCTTATCAGGGTCTCCTGTAAACGAAACACCGAATACCTCTTCAGGCGACTTCCCAAAATCCTCACGAATGACCTTCTCGACATCCTTCCAGTCGTTCTGCGGCGCATCATCGAACATTCGCGAGAACATCTGCTGGAATTCAGGGGGCAGAATGGCAGATTGCATTGCAATTGCCTGACCCATCTTCAGGTAGAGACCACCATTATGCCTCAACAGATGCGACAACCGCTCTGCGGTGCGGGCGTGTACGGCAGTAACAGAGCTAGCCAGTGGTGGGTGTGCTCGGAAGTTAATTTTGTAGTCGAGAGCGACGAAGATACCGAGGGAAAAGGTCCGGGCTGTTCGAGTCAGCGATGAGGCGTAGAACTGGCGGTCGATGCCCCAAGCGACGCCTGTTGCTAGTGAGACATAAATGATTCGGCGTAACCATTTGATGGTTCGTTTGTAGGTCTTTGCTTCTCTAGGTTTCCCCAGGGAGCTCGGTGACGGCGGCACGAAGGGTTGGAATTGGCTTGAGTGAGCATATCGGTGCGGGCGCCGGAGTGAGGGACGGATGACGGTGGGCCGCACAGAGCGGAAGGTCGCGTACGCCATATGAAATTGTGGGGAGGCGGATGCCCAATCACTGCATGGTGTTGGCAATCAAATCCAGTCTGATCTGAGGTGAAGGCAAAGGAATGAGAAGGTCAAGTGTCAATTTATCAAGTAAGCCAGTAAGCCCTAGAGAGGTCGGACTGTCGTCATCGGTAGCTCCGCATGGAGTCGGAGTCGGAGGAATTCAGCGATGTCTTATTCAGCTACAGGCACATTATTAATTGAAGAAATCGGATGTATCTGACATTAATTGCATTTACAGCACTATTTACGTTGAATCAGGGTATAATTCATAATTCATCATGGTCATAAACCCCCAAAGTATCACACACTTTCGCATAATCTCTCATATTCTGGGGAATCGTAGTATCCCACAGTTCGTCACTCTCCAAGAACCGAAGCTGCTCCTTACACGATTCCTCTGAAGCCATTGGAATCAAAGTAGGAAGATGTTTGATCGAAGCCTTGAGGAAATTGCGCTTGAAGCAGTTGCCAAACCCAGCCAGAGTCTCTGGATCAGAACAGATATGTACTCCGCCGCCCAGCATTGTTCCACAGCTTTCCTTGATCTTGAGCGCAACATCGTCGCCCATTTTCAGGAGAGCCTCTTCCTTGTGGGGTACATTCATGCGCTGCATCAGGCTGCGAACGGCTGGGACAAAGGTGTTGTTGCGCGTCCATAGATCCCAGTGGGGGACGGTCGGCTGGCATCCAACGTCGCAGATTTCACTCTGGAATTTACCGAAGAGGTGGCCTGGTCGGCTAACTAGCGCGGAGACGACTTTGAAGCATGATGTGCCGAGTGCTGTAACGGGGGAGAAGAGCAGGACGAGGACGAGGAAGAGGCAATCGAGGAAAAGACGCATTATGTGGGATACAGAAGACGAGAGGCTAAGGAAGAGAAGACCGAGATCTTCTGAGGTCTTCCAATTGCAGTTTTGGTGAAGAGAAGAGAAGACGTGAGATCTGACTCCCCCGCATTTGTGGAGAACTCGGAACTTCGTCATTTGATGTTCACTGGTGTTCATTTCATAAACCAGCAGATGGACTTGCATATTAGCCATGATCCTTTCAGGTATCTTTTATATCCCCTGCTCGAGCCATGAAAACCGCTGATTCTAATCTAGTGACTCTATCGAGATGCCCGTGCATCTACAAGAGGTAGACTCTCTCGAAGCCATTGTTATCATCGACAATGAGCTAGATCCGCTGTCGCCCGCAGCTCCGGATACCGTCCAAGTCTCGGGGAATCTGGGGGCGATTGCCATGGGTTCAAAGCATACGTTGACAGACCGCGGAGAAGCCTGCAAGGAATTAAGGCTGGAAGATGTCTGCTGCGCAGCACATGGCTTGTCAATTCTGGTGGTAAGATGTTCTACCACTGGACTCTTGAATGCGTTCTCATTAAGCCTATATTAGACTGCCACTAAAGGCAAGAAGAAGCACGTCATTCTCTTCGATGCTGGTCCCGAAGAGGAGGCTTGGGAGAGAAATGTGAAACGCCTGGGACCAAATCTCTCCTCTGTGGAAGTGATTCAGCTATCGCATTGGCATCGAGACCACTCCGGTTCGTGATTGAATGAAAAGAAGCACATTTACGCATACTCCTCAGTTGTTCTGACATTCGCTAGGTGGTCTTCTGCGAGCAATCCGCATGATAAACAATGCCAAACAAGCCGAGAGCCGCTCTGAGCACCTGGTCGTGGACTTACACCCAGACCGACCAGTTTACAGAGGCCTTGCTTTGCCCCAGCAGATCATTTCCCTCGAGGCTGACCCTACCTTTGAAGATATTGGAAGTGCAGGTGGGGTGGTCGACAAGCGGAGCGAGCCACACACCGTCCTTGATGACTTCTTTCTTGTATCTGGGGAGATTCCACGAGTGACGCCGTACGAGACAGGTCTGAAGAATGCAGTGCGATATGACCCTGATGAGAAGGACTGGTTCTCTGACGAACTCATCATCGATGAGCGCTCTCTCATCTGCAATCTCAAGGGTATATGCAGCCTAAACCCTCACAGGCTTGTTGAGCTAACATGTTATCAGGAAAAGGACTTGTTGTTTTCACTGGGTGTAGCCATGCTGGCGTAGTCAACACCACCAAACACGCCGTCGAGCTCACCGGTGGAACGGTACCTGTCCATGCCGTTGTCGGTGGGTTTCATCTCGCCACGAGTGAGGCAGATCAAATCCAAAACACAGTAGCCGATCTCAAACGGCTCGATCCCGCCGTGCTGATGCCCGGTCATTGTTCGGGCTGGCGGGCCAAGTTTGCGATTGAGAAACACATGCCCGGGTCATTGGTGCCCTGCACTGTCGGCTCGAGAATCACATTCTGATACCCCTTGTGACTGTTTCATCTGAAACTCTAATACCCATTCAACCGGTTCCTGTAGGCTCGTTCTCCACGTGGACGCAGGGTCTTGATGCGAAACTGCATGACATGGGTTGCTCGAGCAACGAGTTTCGTCAAGGGGCTATCTCGGACTCAGCTCGGCATAAGTCGTTCTGTTGACGGATTCCGATTACTGACATAACTCTATTCCCTTGCTGCATTTTCTTGCGATCGGAAGAATGCGGATGGATGCAGTTGACTGTTTCTAGACTTTGATTACGGAGTAGTAAGCGTGACATGCTAGACATACAGTCAAGGCATTGATACTTCTAGCTGATTGTAGCGACGGTTTATGATAGTTGAATAATATATGTCGGAAATGAATAATTCACTTTGGAGATTTTCAATCAAATAAAACATTGAGAAGTTCGGAGCTGCATAAGATCTGTAGTTGGAGAATCGAACCTTATATATATTTCCATGTATCCAACGACACTTGTATGCTGGCAACGTATATTTCCTTTGCGTCTATAGGACGCGGATGTTTCAATTTGCTCTAAGGATCTATAATATCTTGCATATACTGATGAACCTTCGATATATATGTTCTACAACTAAACAAGGTTAGATGTAACTTCCATCCACTACATCATCAAGTCTCCAAGAGGTCAGATCACCAAACATCAACCATTCCATGCACATTAGTTCTACACCCACGTCAGATAAGCCAAAGTACCTCACCATCCACAACATACAGATAGGATACAGTGTAACCACCACCAACGACACCAAGACCACCCAACGTCAGCTGGACTAATCCTCCACCGCTCCGTCGTGCATTGTTCTACAGCCAAGATCCCTTGGTAGTAAATATCTACCGAATCGTCGAGATACGGCATCCAACACTATCAGCAAAACAGTCAGTTTCCGTCTTGGCCGACGAAAATCCCTCAGCGGCAGAGTAAGTAGTAAGTAGTAACTAGTATATCGATCAACATGAACAAATCTAAATGCGCCCCTGACAGCGCCATGCCATGCCACGCCACGCCCCTCACAGACGACACCTCCGATAAGAGCACGTCCTAAGTTGTATATTTCACATTGCTACTGCTACCTACATACATACTCATGTGCATTACTCCGTTCGTACCTAGCACGGAGTACGGAGCACCCCGTACGAAGTACAAGTACATACAAGCATGCACACTGCCCCCGCCAAGACGCAACCACAACAAGCATTACCAACAACCACCCTTGCGCTCGTCGACTCCCCTCTCCTCTCCACCCCGCCCCACGAATCCGATCACGGTCGCCCGAATCATGACATGACCTCACGCCGATAAAAAAAAAGGGGGCTGGCCAGAGGCCAAATGCCTGCCAAGACGATAATGCGGGAGGAAGGGATGCACGGCCTGGCTTGGCGTCGGTGGACAGGTACGAGATGAGGGTGATCAGCAGATCAAGGGAGGGAATTTTCTATGTAGATTGTCTTTGATGAGCCGGGGGAAGATAGTTGACATCATTGAATGACTTTATCGCGTTGTATGCGGAGTATAGTCGGTAGTGTAGGTAGATACGTGCCAAGAGTATATTTGGATAACGTCGGTCTTCGTTCTCCGAGATCGAGTCTGGGGAGACAGGGATAGGACGCAATACTTGGGATGATTGTGCATTGATGGTTTCGGTCACTGGTTTATCTTCTATTTGGGGTATCTGAACACATGCCCAGGCGTGATCTGTACTATACAGGATCCGTATACTTCCCTTATGGGGTAGTCGTAGGTCACCAAGACTCCGATTCTAGCGAACTATCAATATCCAAGACAACGAGAACGGGACGCAAGTCGATCCCGCACCCTGTTCTGACCTCACTCTCATAAATAGGCAATGCCCAGTGTCCATACAGCCAGCCAAGAAACCCTAGTGAAACAGAGCCGTGAAACTCGAACATAATCGCGCCTCTCCTTCTGTTATCGGATCTTGGCTTGTGCCTGTCTATCGTCGATCATGAAGTTTAAATCCCACATTAGCCATCCTAACCCGCGACGAATGCTATTGAACAATAACACACTGCACGCAGGCAGCATGTCGATCCCCTCGCATCCCCCCCGAATCTATCCCTGTCTTGCTTGGCATGCCTAGACAAGGTATCCCGGGACAAGCTCGCAGTACGCAGATGCGGGTATACGGTACCTGTAAGACGGGGAATAGGATAACAAAGGATACTGAAACGGTGTCTGGGCTATTTTATGCTTGACTGTGGCCCCTGTATTTAAACCAGGTAGGTACTGGCTGAGATTGATAATCGGCACTGGATGGCCGGGGAGTTTAACGGTGGCTATGCAGATGCCGACGGAGGTGTCATACAAAGAACAAAGAGAGATATTCCGTAGCCTAGCAGGCACTCTCACACCGTCCTTCTAACAATAGTAACAGAGAAGCAGAGCAGGTAGCAATGGCGACACCATCCAATTCGTCTCATAGCCTCCGATCTGGAGAAAATTGGGATCAACCAGGTATCGTGAACACCGCCGATGACTCGCCCGAGTGGCAGAGACTGACAGTGACAGTGACAGCCAGTCCGAGACGCAATACTGTAACGTTTAATCTGTCTGTAGCAGTCTGTGTTTCAACATTGTATCTAGCACAGCCAAGAATATCAATACGTCACATACAATTATTGAGCATATACATCGCAGCACGGGGAGAGGGGAGCGAGCGTGTGCATTATTATTGTGGACTCGACTGTTTTCCCGCAGGGTAGTTCGGGCCACTTACCAAAACGCAGGGAGAGCAACAAATCTACGAACTGGGTGTATTACCCCGGAGCTATACTAAAGAAGGCAATATTTAGGTCTGTTAGAGTCATACCTATGTCGTAGTAACATGCATACTTTCCTTGCGTCACAGGGGAAAAAGAAAAACAAAGCGACTGTCATTCACTGATTAGTTTTTTCCTAATCTGGAAAGACAACACACACCTCCCCGACACCGGACTCAGGTCGCGTCGCGCTAATGGCTAGCAATACTCCGGAGTAGTAAATAGTGATATGCAAGTTCCCTTGCGACCAGTAGCAAGCGCGGAAAATATATCACTTTGCATGATCTCCGAAATGCGACTTGCCAGTTGTGAGGTTCGCGTCGAGGGAGTGTGGGGTGTTTTGTTCTCCTGTCGATCGCTGCCGGATGGGGAGGACGGAGACTCTCTTAGCTTGCGGTCTGGCTTGGAGGGGAATGATTTGGTCGATTATGGGGATCTAGACTATGCTGATTATGTTGCTCGACGTGGCGTGAGTCGTCTTATGCCGTGGATGGATGGCCTGTGTGTTTATTTATTGCTTGTTTGGGTATCGTGCGATAGCGACGAGGACGTAGAGTGTATGTCATCATAGCTGTCGGATTCGTGAAAGGCTTAGGGGAGGTGACTCCGTGATCACACTATCACACACCCGGTATCGTATGTTTCTGTGTGCGATCTCCACAGTCCAGGGCCGGAGTTGCGGTTTTTCCGACGTGGGATTCCGAAGAAGAGCTGTCTGGCCAGGATATTGACCATTGTTTGATTTTGCTTTCTCATCGGTGCGTAGGGGGCGTGTCGGTACCTGACTACTAGGATCTGATCGACGCAGGGTTATATGCAGCCAAGAGAAAATGTAGCATAAGATCTCAACATAATATACAACATATAATCCGATGCACACGACCTAGAAATTAACTGTGTACACAATTCACATGAGGCTGACTGGATGATTTTCCCACTATTACCTGGTGGCGCGTAATGGATTCATCCATACAAAGTAACAGAGAAGAAATTACCAGCCCTGCCAAGAACTGCAGACAAAGACCCTGGAACTACGAACCAAATGAAGCAAGCGTTCAAAGTTGGCAATGAGCAATTAAAATCCGATATGTAACCATAGTCGACGACGCCTCACGCCCACACAACGCTCTTCCCAAACCGAAATCAGACGTGCCGAGTTCCCGCGTGCCGCGTCGGAGTTTCGACACGGGATGCCCGACTGGCCGAGTCTACACCTTACAAACGATTATAGCCAAGACCGAGAGGGGACCGACATAATGGGAAGGCGATGGTCCAATCGTGGGGCGGGAACGAGAAACCTCAATATTCGGGGGATTATCTGCATGAGGTAAGGCAAATTGACAACGCCTGACGGGCACAGACACGCGGGGCTGAGGGAATAATGTACATTGTACGGAGTACGGAGTACGGAGTACATAGTATGTACTATGTTGTACGCACGGAGGACAGGTATTAATTCCATGGGGTTGAATAATATGGAGTCCAGTACGGAGTATACATTACCTACCCCCGTAGCAAAAGAAGCAGCGGTGATAGTCGTTTTTCAAGCTATGACCATCCTACGCCCTGGGAAAAGGAAAGAACATAACGTCATACGTCATACGTCATACACGATTAGCCGCCGAGTCTGAGATTAGGCCAATATACCACGCCGATATTTCTATATTGCGATTGCGTCTAGGCTGTCTAATTTCCGAGCAACAGCGCATTTCTCGTTTCAAATTGCTTGAAGCTCTTCCTGCAGGTGCGGGAACCATATCACGCTAGACCAGAACGGGAATTGGGGTGAGGTACGTGCACGGTACTCCCGAGGTTCGGTCTTGGGTGTATTGGGGGATTGTTTTTTTCGTTTCATTCCATTTTCCGTGTTTTTTTCATTTCGGCCTTTGTTTTCTCCATGGGTAGCCGATTTCTGGGGTGAGCAAATCTGGGATAGCTTGGCGAACAGTTAGGGTAGTACCTTTGGTCTCGGTCTTTGTCTTTATGCAACATAAGCAATTTATTACGAGAATACGGAGTAGCGCTGTGCTGTCAAAGGACGGACCTCGCGCACAGGTGGGCATTGAATCCCGTTCTCCGGACGGAGTGACTAGTCCCAAGGATGATAGTAACAAGCCTTGTCGGTGTGAATAAAGGAGCTAGAAAGAAAATGCCTCACGATCTGAGATCGGCAAGAAAACCGCGGAGACCTTTGTCCGTACAAGCTAGCTACGCGACGCTAGCCTCCTTAGTGGTAAGCTATACTCCGTAATCAAGGAACGATGTGGCAGGCGGGCGATCATTCAGTGGGCCGCGAGGGTTTGATTCAGATGAGAGCTTCCTGCAAGCGTATTTCGCGCCCGCTGATTGCTGGACGGAGCTCTGGTCCCCATCGCACTATTCGCGCTACTGTAGGTACACGGCTGCGAGGCGAAAGCCAAGCCGGTGCTAGGAGAGGTGGTCGATACCGGGCCAGTAGACGCAGATGAAAGGGGATGCCAATGGAAATCATGTGGATTCAGGGATCTGGGTTCGATAATGGAGGGGAATTAAGAAATAAGTTGTGTGTCCCCGTCACGAGTTGGTGATATTAGACATAACCCTTCCACTATATTAACTACCGAGTCGTTAACGAGTGTGATAGACTTTTCTTTAGGGCTATTTATTCAATACGGCATGTCCAAGCTGAAGGAAGGTCCCCCGTATTTTTCATTTCAGTGGAAAATTCACCCCGGTAATTAACTGACTCAGCACTCCCTAACGATCATGATTGGTGGGGGACTGGGGTAATCTCGCTACTCGGGCGTTCCCCGAATCAGAAATGCGCTTTTATGGATTTTCAATGGGGTATAGAAGAACATCGGGTTAGTCTCAACACAAAGCGAAAGCGGCATGATAAGAAGTCATGACGTGATACTGTTATTCTTATCATCCATGGGCTGTCAATTCGCATTGTGCCGACATCCGTCTATTGACAAGGATAAAGCAGAGGCAAGGGAGGGAAAAAGGTAAAAAAAAAAAAAAAAAGAAAAACCACCTGCAGCAAACCTGCATTGCATCCATGGGACGGTGACGCTCGAAGGAAGAGGAAGCCTTCTAGAAGCCATCCAGAACACCCTAAATCGATAACCACACGCACCGGACTCGGATCCACTCCGAGAAATGTCCAAATGGAGAAGATCACCGACTCGGCACCGAAACCTCTCTAGCTCGATTCCTCTAGGGCCAGCCTGCAGTTTACTCTGCACGCAGCAGTTTTGATATCGGCCTCATGCCTCACCGTCCTTTACGACTTACGATATCCAGCAATTGATCTTCAATTTCTCTCTTTCGTTAGTACGCCCGGTTCGGTCCGGCGTGTGGCAATCATAATCATCTGAATGCGAATGGACATTTGCGGCATTTTGTTGCATGACGCAGGACAAGACACATCACGATCGGAAAAACGAGAAAAAAAGCCCGTGCTTCTCGCCGTCAGCACGCTGAATTGATCTAACTATTGATCTCCAGCCCAAGCCTGCAAGCGAGACGGCAGCAGCGGCGCGATCGCCCGACAACTGCGAGGAATCTCCGATGTCTTTGAAGGTTGGTTTCCGGGAATATACCTTCACTAACTACATATCGGGCTTGAGAAGGTGGCGGCGTTGATGTAGAGCCCATATCCGACCGGGAAGAGGTGATTCGCCACGGGCGCATATAGATCAATTTTTATATGGAGTTCTCCGTACTTCGTCTCCGTACAATAGGTATTCTTGGGGTGTGTAGCTTCCGTTCCGGTGGAATGGGCGATCGTGGAACGTCCATGGATGTTTCCCAGCCCCCCAATATGGGCATACCGTGAATCCCCGATTACGTCTGTGATATAATTGGAACTGGGTATTGGGTGCATCATCTGTACGGAGTAGAGTGCAAAGTACGGTACTCCAGGTACAAAGTACACATACAAAGTACAGTAAAGAATAGTAGAATTGACTGTCCCAAGATATATTGATATCTACTATACTCTCGTACCTACGGCTACGGATCTCGTCCCACACCCTCATCCATGGCTCGCCGTGGGGGAAAAAAGCAGAAAAGTCGAAATTTGCCAAAATCCCAATTCTCGATGCTTCGGTTGCCCCATTCGAGGCATTTTCGCATGTTCCCATTGATTGGGATAGACAGCTCTCCACTATGCGCCTCGGTTTTGGGGATTTGGTTTGAACGGTCCTGGACCCGACAGATTTTTTTTAATCAGAACAATGGCCCGATATTCTGGTCCTGATCCATGAAAGAAAAAATTCGGCCAGTGACCTCGGCGGCGTTGAGAACAGTCCCTTCTCAGGATCGTGCACTGCTGGCCTTGGCTGACGTGGATTTTCGAAAGGCTAAACAGCGAGAATCCCCCGGAATGATCGCAACTCAATTGGCCTTTTTTTCCTTTTTTTCCCTTTTTTTTTCCGTTTCCTTTTGCGTTTTTCCTTCCTTTCTCGCACGGGGCTGCAGGGGGACGAAGCGCAGACTGTCCAGCGAATAGGGGCTTGTAGCGGGATTGCCAGAACTCCACTGGCTTCCTAAAAGAGTTTGGCCCATGAGCTATCTGTCTCTGGAGCTGTTCTTCGACCGTCGAGTATGGAGGAGATGAGACAGGGGCTACAGAGTGACGATAGCGGGCTACGGAGAACGGGATTGTCTTTCTCTCTATCTTTTGCGGGATAATCAATAGCTCCCACGGAGGACAGTTCAAGAATGGAAGGTGATCTTTTCTCCGATAGATTATATTACCATGGCGAGGATATGGCCAGACCGGGGAGCTCCATAATTTATTCGCCCTTTACATGTCCGCAATTGGTTCGCGTTGTGTCGGTTCGCCTTCCGCGTAAAGCGCCGGGCACCGTTGATGGGAAGTATACAAGACGGGACGACCTACAGGATTCATTATCGCAAGCCATCGATCGACGTAGCGTCTCTACGGAGGATATTGTACGATGTTCGGGAGACGAGAACGAGAACAGAAATTGTCTAGATCGCGGAGACTCGCGATAATATATCGTTACCGTTACCTATCTCCAACGGCGCGTGCACGATTTCAACCCCAGCCCTGAGGAGATTGGAGATTGGAGATGGAGATAGATGGAGATTGGTCTTCTGGGGAAGACTTGCCAAGGGGACATTCGCCGGAAAGCCGGGGGGAGTGCGGGTGCATCAAAGTATGGGAAACCAGTGACTGTACAGAATATGTACAGACTCCGTCCTTAGCTACTCCATCCTAACTATCATATACATTTCCTACATCCTGATTCGAAACCCTGTCTCCATCCAATCGCAGTCAGCCTTATTCTATTGTATGCACCGCGAAGCTTGACGGTGTCGATGGAGGGTCTGATCGTGGATCATCTCCAGTAATATACATCCGATGACCCCTGCTATGTACATATGCTTTCGAGGATTTACCCGCACTCGGGCAACCCGCATTTGCCATCGTGAACTAGGTTTGTGATTGAATTTTCCGTTTTGGCCATGTACAGTAGGCGATCAATGTATGTATGTGCTGGCCGGATAATAATAGTAGTCTCTGATTGTTGCGACGACGTACGGAGTATAGTGAACTTTATCGATGCCGTCTTTTCTCGATTAAGATCTACAATATATCATATTATACGAGCAAACAAGGTTGCCACTGAGATACCTTGAAGCATTCCGCTGAACTCCGTATAAACACATGTTAGAGTCAGTGCTTGGGAACAGCGTCGGCGATCAACAATGATGAAATCATCGGCCGGC